AACAAAAATTAAATGTGACTCGAGGCCCGTGACCTAATTAGGGTGCAACAGATTTGGTGTCTGTTGTATTTCTCTTTTAGGCTGCCGTTTGTTTCGCCGAGAAGCGAAAATAATACCTTCTTTGTTTATACCATGAGTTAATACATATACATATGTATACAATACTCATGGTTTAATACTTGAACAAACTAGTTATAATATTTTTTTATTAACGCGTATTACACACTGAAAAAATCCAGTTATCATAAATCTATTCTATCTCAAAATTGCTATTATTTTTTTAACATACCGCGAACATGGTTGCTATAATATGAAGGAGAAGTTGTTTTTATAAGTTTAATTTTTATCATCAATGAAAATAAAAACTTCAAAATATTGTAGAATATATTTAGTAGGTATACTTTATTTCTGCGAATATGCCTTACTCGTGATGCGTTCTCTGCATGTTGTGTGGATTGTGCGTGAGATGACGCAACAGGCGTAACGCGCAGTGGTGTAAACGCAAAGCAGTTGCCGCGGAAGATGGTGGCGCGTATCGCCTGTACAGCAACTCACACACCCCACCCAGGCCCGCTAACGCTGCCTCTACGCTCTTTATAAAACATACACACGTTGTAGATTATATCTATTTATAATTACAAAAAAGTATAGACTCGTTGCTTCATATAGCTATAGTAAGGCTTTAATTATAAGGGTCGGTGCGGAACGAGAACCGTCGTGGGATTTGAGGTGGCAACACTCTTAAGTTTCAGTAACAGTTACGTCATTATAGTTCGTCATTAATCATCTTGATAATTTATATAAAAACATACATTTAGGTTAGTTTGCATAACCGTAATGCCGGTTCTCTTTCAGACTCCACTATATGTTCAACAAATGCATTACACACGAACGATAATTGTTTTTTATTATCTACATTTGAGACAACAAAAGATATTTAAAAAATTAAGAAAACAGAATTGTTTTTAAGAAATATCTCCAATCCAAAAACACATTGAGGTGCAGATTTTACAGGTGAAGTTAAGTTGATGTATTAAGTTTCCAAGTTCATATTATCTTCCCAGATATTTAAAACTTGCTTAACAATAAAATTAATTCATAAATTAAATTTGGAAATATACCTGAGACTGGGTGGCTGTACTTCCCCAGTAGAAAACAGTTGTGACTAGAGATGGTGGAACATGAGATGACAGCGGAAGCCAAGAGAATAAATGCTGTAATGTAGTGAGACATTTAACTACTATCTCCATGTTCATGTTCCTGGAAGCAAAGAAATAAAATTATAATTTTTTTAAAGTATAAAAGCACTGCAGCCCATTTATAAAAACAGATACAGCGCAGCTGTTTCCATTAATATTTTACTTTATAGAAAAGTTATCCATGCCTTTCATTTTTTTCCATAGATCAAACTGGGTTCCAAAAGAGATCAAAGTGAGTTAATATTGATAATAATACACATTACAATTATTCTAATTCACAAAATATATTTTTGTAAATTAACAAATTATGATAAGGCATAATCAAATCTCCTTTGATAAAATATATATAAATGCACTTACTTTTCGTTTGATTGTACATCATGGGCATTAGCAAGTAAATCTGGTAGAGCTGAAGTCTGTGGCATGCCAGAAGTTGGGGAAGGAGGTGGATTAGACTGACCTTCCTTTTCAGCATTTTTTTCCAGAATATCTAGAAAAATGGTAATATAATTAGAACTATAAACTGTTTAACAAATTATATGCATTATACTTTTACTTATTGCTTATTATCTTTCCACTCTATATTTTATTCTAATACCTTTTGCATGAAATAGAATGCATCTTACTGTTAAGAGCTGCAAGCATTTGTGGCATTCCCTTAAGCATTAACCTCTCCAATTGACTTCGCCGTGCGGAAGGGAGTAATACACCGGTATCTCTAGCAGCACCTAATTCTTCACTAGCTGTTTGGGCTAACACCAAACCGACTATACATCTTTGGCCATCATATTTTAGAAGCTGTCAATAGAAAAACTTATTACAAGGTGTATGTTAAAGACCAAACTAAAGATAAAGTCTAGACTAAGTTGATGCCTATATTTCAAAAACGTATTGGATTTTAACATACGATAGTCATATTAAATTATCTTGACCTGAATTAATAGGCAACATTGAATACATAAAATGCTAAAATATTTCTTGAATACCTCCACAATGTTGTTGAAAAAGTCTGGATAAAGATGCGGCCAATCATTCCTGGCTATAGCAACAATTAGGGCAGCTAATTTATTTCGTATATAGTACATCTTGTCATGTTTAGCTGTCAGTTCATACAACAATGTCATTCTAATTTCAACTTTCTCATCATCACTTAAATAATACCACTGTCTGTTGATAATGTTCTGAAAGTATATAAAAAGTTATTTTATTTTGTTAAGTTAACCTCGACAGTAATGTTCAAATTTATTGTACTATAGTGTCTAAACAGAAAAGTTTAGATCTTTCTGTTTCTAACCAGGTTGACTTTTCACTGGCTAGTTAGCGTTTTACTTAAATCAATTCCATGGTAAATTTTGATACAAAGATTAATATCAACAAAGTGATTGATAGAATAGTTTAGGTTTCAGATGTGTTTCACTTTGCTGTGTTTAGCTTACCTCAAGAGTAGTTAATATTAGCATAAGCACATATTGGTTCTGAGATTTTTGCAAAAATAACAAACAATGTTTCCATGATTCTCTATTATTAAAAAAACTTTCAAGCATCAACTCAATTTCTCTTTTTCTAAAATTATTTGTAGTAGGTGCATTAAACTCTAACATAACCATCTCCAAGGAGGCAAGGGCCTCTGTACTTTCAAAATTACTCTGAAATAAAAATTGTTACACTAAATATTATTATAGAATTTTAAGTCTTAAAAGCTTGAACATTTTTAAGTATTTAGCATCGTGTAAAAATTGAAAATATAAATCAGAACCTTACCATGATTATTTCTGTATTTTCATATATTTTTTCGCTTCATAACAATTAGAATTTTACAATTACCAGGTATTGGTAGGTTGTATGATAGAAATATTGAAATATAATGATAAATTATAGGTAAATAACTTTAAGTTATAAGGGTTTTAGTTTCATGCCATTATTCGTAAATCGAAAAGAGAACCTCCCAAAATTACATTCCGACTTTAGTTTATAATTTAATTATTGTGATTAAATTATTATCTCTTCGCTATCACTCACAGATTAGATATTAGTATATAGTATACTTGTCAGTTATCAACTTTTTTTTCGGTTGGACTATTTTAACAGAAAATAAGTATTCTGTGGTTCACATTGACCTACGCCTTAGCATATATTCAAAGGACATTGGGCTATTGTATACAGGGGCTTTAGTCAAGATGCCTTAACAGTAGTGTATGTAGAGAGTTGAAAACTAAATTTGTATGGAAATGACACTTCGCATCGAAAAGTTTTCATACTAATTTAGTTTATCTAATATATAAAATTCTCGTGTCGCGGTGTTTGTAGTTAAACTCCTCCGAAACGGCTTGACCGATTCTCATGAAATTTTGTATGCATATAGGGCATGTCTGAGAATCGGAAAACATCTATTTTTCATCCCCCTAAATGTTAAGGGTAGTCCACCCCTAAATTTTTTATTTTATTTTTAGATAATTATTTTTTATTATTATTTTATGATACAGCATTAAAAAATACATACAACCCCTAATTTTCAACCCTCTGCGATCAACCCCTTTTTTTATTATAAATGATATACAAGGCAAAACGACGTTTGCCGGATCAGCTAGTCTATTTATAATATTCCAAGATGACATTAATTCGCAACTGTAAATGAAATAAAGATTCAAAAGTGGACATTTTTGGAAATATTCATTGGCTTAAGTACGTCCGCCACATCATATATACGTCTTACGTTTGCAAAATATAATCTAAAGCATACTTATGCTTTAGATAAAAGCAGCAGAATCTAAGAACAAAAACTAGCATTGAAACCATGCTAAAATAAAGGATATGTTGGTCCTTTACTTTCTAATATCAACTTAATGGGTAAAAATTATTGAAATTATGTTTGGCTTATTATATTTCACGTAACTTAGTAGTTTTAGTTCTGTTCTGGAAAGAGACCCGTCTTGGGATTTAAAACTTGAAGCAGCGTGTTTTTGTCTGATGTAGGAGAGTTGTACATTAGAATGTAATGTAATTATCATTATTACTTATGTGTAAATCTTAAAACGTTAAGGGTAAGATTCAGAAATAAGATTTAGTGCTAATAGAACCCTCAGGGTCATATGATCTAGGTGTGAGGTGTTTACTGTTTACTCTTACAGCTTATATACGGGGTCTATCCTTTAGTTCCTTTTCTAAGTTCGTGATATTCTTTCCTTTATCATTATATTACTTGTTCATATATGCTTTTATCCATAAGGTATACAATTATATATACCAAACATATATACATATATGATTGTAAGTAATGTTATCCCTAGCCTCTACTTGGGGCTTGCCTACAGTCACTATTCAATTTCGATAGTCGAGACCCACTTACACTAAACGACATTGTATAGAATTACAAATGACATTAGTTCACACTTTGTCTGGTGAAAATTTTCATACAAATTCGTTTGGCGTTAGAGGGTCACGCCTGTCGAAAAGTGTTTTTGTCTCAAGTACTTGGTTTACCTGTGGACTGTGGTGCATATATAATTTTTAATATATGAAGTGTTTATACTTTATATAGTATATACTCTTGAGTCTTGATTAATGATTACTTTCATTACCGAATTGTATCACAGGCCTCAGGCCATAAATTCTTTAAAAAAAACATTGTACCTATTTATTATATTGCAGTATTTACTGGTAAAAATTTAAGTGTTTTTAAGTCATTCAAACTGTTTTAAATTTACAACTTTGTATCTAAAGTATAAAGGTAAAACTAAACTGAAAGTCAAAAGATTAATATACATACCTGAGATTGTGTTTAAAGCATAGAAATCTTTAACTATGGAGATAGACTCATCTAACATAGATGAAAATAATCAAGAAAAACAATCTGTAGAAAGCTCGGTTATTCCAGAGAATGAAAAGCCTGAAACAAATATTCTACCTACACCAACAGCTCCCAATAATATTAGTGACATCGATTCCACTTCAAATTCTGTAAGCAAAGAAGGCAAAGCAAAGAAACCCAAAAAACGTAAACCAAAAGTTCTTCGTGATGTTACTGCCCCTCGTCAACCTCTAACTGGTAAATATCTTAAGTACTAAATTTGTTTTCCTCATTGTGCTTGTGTCTTGATTGAAACAAAAATAATGTTTAACTAGCTATTGAAAATAAACTATAATATAAAAGACGGATAAATATGTAAAGGTTGAATGCAATGGCTGGTCTTATTGCAAGTTAAGATTAAGAGTCCAAGCTACATGGTTATGCAAAAAAACAAATAACACTAAGGTGCATAAGTTGTGCATCAAACACATTTAATAGGAACAATTTAGAATTAGGATCTTAAAGGATGTATGGAGAATACTGAAAGACTTGCAATTTAAGTGGTTGGAAATAATTTCTGGGATATATTGTAGGATAAAATATTGTAGATAGACCTTTGAATCCTAAATCTTACTTTGAAGGCTTTAAACGAATCCAGTGATTTGCAGCAATGTAATAATTTTTTTTATTACTGTTAAAAATACTTATAGGATATGTTAGGTTTTCAAATGAGCGTCGTGAACAACTTAGAGCAGAACAGCCAGAGCTTGGCTTTGCAGAATTAACAAAAAAATTGGCAAGTGAATGGAGTAAGTTACCTGTAGAGGCAAAGCAACAATATTTAGATGCTGCAGATCATGATAAAGAAAGGTACCTGCAAAATTGTTTTAGTTATGTCATTTTATATTTTAACTATTGCTATTAAATCATTATTGCAGTCTGAGTGAATAGTATATGCTACATAACCTTATTTTAATTAATTATAAATTATTGTATATCATTATTTGTATTAAAGTAAATAAGTGACTTATATTCAATTCTAATATGTCATTCCAAATTATTATTATTTAAAAAATAAAATGTATATATATTTCATATAATATCATAGATTTTTGGTATCTTTTAAGGTATATGAAAGAGTGGACTGAATATAAAAAAACAGACTCATATAAAGAGTTTCGGAGACAGCAAATGGAACAAAAGGATCCTAATAGTTCAACAAAGAAGTTAAAACAGATCCAATCTAATGACAATAATAATGTTTCAGGTGAGAATGAAATATAAAAGGTAAAGATTGACGTATAAGAATAAACACAAGCAACTTTCTGTACCCACACCTTATTATGCAAAGTTTTTTCCTATGGTCCCAGATTTATAAAATTTCTCTTTTTTTTTTCCTAAATACTAATTCTGGACATACTGTTTCCATTAATAAACATGCAAATTTACAGGTAATGCACTACTCGATCAAACAGTGCCAGTAACAAACACCACCTCAGCCTCTACAAACAATTCAAGTCGCCTAGCTACGCCGCCCAGAACAAGACCTTGTGTGACACCAGCATTAGTAAGTATCTTAACACGGAAGTACGTATTAACGTTAAGTATGTATTCCAGAACATCACTATAACTTCAATCTGCTTTCAAGAGCGGTCTTTTTTTTATTTGAATTTTGCATTAGGGCTTTTTCACACATACCACAACCACACCACGTCGCAATGACAAAATTCTGTCCAGCAGTGGTTACGTGTGAATAGTGTCGGTGCAGCTTTTTGTAGTTGCGTTGTGGTACCGACAAAATGGCGATGTGGTTGCATAGTCGCCAGTAGTTGCGATGCGGTTACGTCGTGTGCAGACACAATTCGACTCGGAAACACGTTCCGCAATGAAAGCCGGAGTTGACTGACCAAACTCATGTAATTCGAAGAGGAAACTTTGTCACCTTAGTCGAACGCAGAATGAATGAATCGGGGGAGGGGAAAGCGGCGGGCGCGCACTGTCGTTGTGTCTCCGCAACGTTTTGTTTGCGATGTGGTCAGCCACTAGTTCACAGTGCCGCTGGTGGTCGCGTTGTGGTTGCGATGTGGTCGGTATCACACACACGGTCGATAACGACTGCAAAATGTGGTACGTGTGAATAGTCCTATTCATTTTCAATACAAAACATACGCCCGGCCAAGTGGTGTCGTTGAGGTGTGGTTGTGGTACGTGTGAAGAAGCCCTTAAGACCGATTGATGAAGCGGAGATTGTTACTTGAGATAGCAATTGGAATATGGGACTCAAAGTTTTTAATTAGAAGAAACTTAAGATATCTAAAAGGTTGCGAATAATTTTAAAATCTGTAACACAATATGCAGTATAAGCTTGTTATTCTAGGGTATATTTTCTCTAAATGCGGGAAACTTGTGATTCAAACTTTCACAGTAGCTTTCTAGTGTGACCTCATGTAACAATCAAATACGTATAACGCGCCTCACAAGTCACAATCGCTATAGACGCAGAGGAATCACGCATTTAGAATTATTAGGCGAATTGTCACAGATATTCATTAAGCCCCTGTAAAGTGGTTGATAACGCATATAACCCAGGAAAATGTTACCCTGACCCTGTCAGGTTGCTAGGGCTTGGGTTCGATTCCCGGCTAATAATCTAATTTTTAAATTACAGGGAGAGGATCTTGGTGATACAGACATACCAATATTTACGGAACAGTTTCTCCAGCACAACAAATTAAGGGAATCAGAGTTACGACAGCTGAGAAAGGCCAATTCAGATTATGAACAACAGGTAATAGAATATACACATACTTCTATTTCAGTTAGCAAGGCTATTCAGGATTGCGCAACTAAACCTAGAATTTTTATTCCAAAACAACTCTTTATTATAATAATTACTAGCAGTTAAAGATATGAGTATATGTTAAAGGTATTTTAAGAGGTTCATATATGATACTCACTCATATATGAGAATATGATACAAACTATAATTTAAGCAATGCATTATTGACAAATCACGCATAAGGGTATACTTTTATCCAGAATGCAACTTTGCAACGTCACGCTGAAGAAGTAAGCGCGGCGACAGCTCGGCTGCGAGCAGAAACCGCAGCAGCTGCGGAGCGTACAGCTGCGCTGGTTGGACATCGCAAAGCACTTGTCGCTGCCTTGGTTCAAGCTTTGCAGTCCACTATTTTACCTCTATCAGGTTCTTAATTTAATACTTGTATCACAAATGTGTTGAATCCAAAGGCCCCAAATATAAATTCTTACGATTAAGAACGTAGAATACCTAGATCGGTGATCACTTTATTGCCTTTAATGACAGGATCAGTAGCTCTCTACTGAAGTGTATTTTTAAATAATATATTACACACATGTTAAATATGTTATGCTTCAAAATGCCTGTGTAGGCATGTCTAAAAACTTTATTATGTTAATTTTCACAGGTGGGCCAGAAGGTGCAACAGAAAACAATATAGAGGAATATATGGAAAAATTGCAAAAGATGGTAACTGAGAACAAGAACAATGCATTGCTAAAGCAAGCTCTTGACAATCTTAACTATGTTTCATTTCATCTGCCAGTCCTGGGTTAATAGGGTGACACAAGAAGGATAGCCAGGATAGAAAAGTTTAGAATAGTAATGGACAGATCGAAATGGTAACATTTGGAGATGTTTATTAAGAGACAAGCTGATTAGTTGTAATAATATTAATAATAATAGTATGGTATATAGATGTATAGAGGAATTAAAATTTTAAAAAAGACAATTAATTTACAGTAATGATAAATCATATTATATAAATAATTAATTATAAACAAATAATAGAAGGGGAGCCCAAGAAAGTAAATAGAGATTCACTTGGGCTGTGGGGACGTATTGAATTGTGACAGTTTAATGCTAAAAATAAAAATAAAGTATTCCCTATCACCGATGGGGAAAGCTATACTAGCGCGTCAGATATAATGCGTATGCATCTCGCGTCTTTTTGAAAGAGGAAAAATAATAATCTGCCGGTTTGCATGGTGGGGCTGACCGTCAGATGGGGTAGAAAATATTCTAGGGCGTCAGGTCAGGTAAGGGATTCTTAGTGAACCCTCTAGCAGCCCCTATTTAGAAGACTGACGATTTTGCCGCGACCATATGTAATGGGCTTTTTTTCTAAATAAAAAAAAATAGTGACCTCGAAACATTCAAGTGTGTTAGAATATTATATTATACAGACGTGTCGTACCGAACATAATACACATATCGTCCACATAATTGTCGACGATCTTATAATTTTTTGGAAGATTGTTGGTTAAAAAAACAAAGGACAAGTGGCGCGAAGTGTGAGTCTTATTAACTATTTAGCTACTTCGGTTTGTGCAAATCAGCAGATTATAATGTCGTGAATCGTGACGAAAATAAAAATTGAACCGTGGTGGCATTTTTCTAGCAATCTATTTTTTTACTAATCTAAATTGCCCTAAACATTTGACCCTATGTACAGGTTATGGTGGATACTTCACAAGGTTGCTCTCCATTTTTTATTGATTGCCCCGCTTGGGCTTCTCTACTATAAATGTAATAAGAATAAATATTATATATGTATTTTATTTGATGAACAAAGGCATGGAAAATAAATTGGCAGAAATCACATATTTTCTACACCACCTCTTATTAATGAAGTCTAAATATTGACAATAAAACAATTAAATATATTTACCTTTTATTTTACAATATTATCTCGTAATTGCTATGTATAATCTAAATTACAAATGAAATCGAAGACAAAATAATATGAGATATAATAAAATTGTTATAGACCTGCTACATAATTGACAGGAATTATTCTAATATTTTGCATGGAGGAACCATAGTGAAAATTATTGTTTTTCTGAAGGTTTCCAAATTTATGTCCTGTCCATTACTTAATACAATTACTTTGTATGCCTGTAGGCATAATTATAGTAAAATTTAGAATTTTGTTTATCCCTCACTTTCTATATCAGAATAATGGTCAGCTTTAGAACTTTTACCATCAACATCATATTCATGTAATTTCTTTCTCCATATTTTGATGAGCATATCCCAAGACCTCCTACTATACTTAGAATACTTATCTGGTGTTTTTGGGTCTTCTTTTGCTCTGTCTGATCTAAAAACATTTTAGAAAAATATGAAATGTTAGAAAAAAAATCACAAAACTAATTATTAATACTTACATAGAAACCTTAGATAAGTAATTCTGGTAGCCAACTGTATTTTTTCCAAAATCAATTTGTTTCTGACGTCTCTGTAAAACTGAAGGATCCATCTCGATTTCCAATTCCTTTTTTGGTTTACCACTGCCTCCACTACAATTTTAATAATCATTTATCAATAACAATTGAACTATTTATCTTTCATTCAGTTAAATTTACACTTTTGATTTCATACCTAGAAACACTTTCAGTATCATGTTCAGAATTATGACGTTTTTGTTTTTTTTTACGACTTGTTTTATCTTTGGTTTCCAACTTCATCTTTTCTTTTGTGGCTCTTCGACCTTAAAAGACACGTAAAATTGTAGATAAGTTATAACGACTACATTAAGCATTGTGCTTTTATAAACACTGCAAATAATAACAAACCATTTTGTTGTTGCGGCTCATTTTCACTGGTAGGGGTGATACCAATGACACATGCACTCATATTGAAGACACTTAAATTTTAATAGTATAAGAAAAAAAAAGCCTTAATACGCTCACTAAACTATCGTAAAACTATAGCTTGAATTTGTAAGCTCAGAACAACAAAAATTCAATGCTCTAGCAAATGTTTTAAATAATAGTACATCTCAAACTTTCAAGTAAAGGGGACTAACATTAATTTAATGAATTTTACTGAAAATCACTAATTGAATCATTTCAACTTCGTTCCAACTCCCAAGCGACAAGCACACCGTATTAACTTTTAACCCGCGTAAACAATTATTTAAAAAAACAAGTGACAAAACTGACATTGCGAAATATGGACATTAGACGTGTGTCTTGTGATAAAAGTGGTGTTTTTTGACTTATCTGTGGTAACTGGTAAGTAATGTATAATAAAAAAAATATAGTTTTGTGGTAAAGTGAGTGGGGGGAAGATTGAACGGTTTTTTGATGAGATGAGCAGAGTTGTGTTTGTAACTCTTGTAGAACATTAAATATTTACCTGTACTAATTTATGGCTGTGATTAGTAACAAGCAAAAACCATTCTTTTCTATCATATCAATAACATATTGTTAAATCTGTTCCAAAGCAGAGAAAATAAGTAAGGGAGCGTTCAAGTATTACGTAACGTGTTTTGGGAGGAGGGGGTCCTTTTGTAAAACTTTACGATGCGGGGCGGGGATTAAATTACGCGTTATTGTTAATATTTTTTTCGAATTACACCACATAATAGTAACTAAAGGGTCACTAGGTGGTCACGAAACGTTTTTCTATACTTGGGTACAGTACTGTACTTGGGTACTGAAAAACGTTACGGCGAGTTACATGGGTGGGGGGGTCAATAATCTCCAAAAATTGCGTTACGTAGTACTTGAACGCTCCCTTAATCAAAAAATAAAGATACGACCACAAAACTCACATCTGCCTTTAGTGAAAAAATAGCTGTATTTAACAACGATGCATCTAATTGTTTGTTTTTTATATATCAATCTTACCCCAACGGGTAAAGATAGAAACAAACGTTCTCAAACTATGTCATCTCAGTTTAAAGCCAACCACGAATACAAAATTTAGTGAATCAATCTGGTCCTGGAACATCGTCCTTAAATGGTTTTAACGCTGTTTTTTTTGTCCGGTTGAAAAGCGTAGCAATACGATTTTTAAAAATTTTAGTTACTCCAAATGTCAAAACCTTTCTTTTTACTTTTTCTACGGCTTCGGCCACATCGTCTTGAGTATATTTTTATCTTGCAAAAACGTGCTATTAGGTCAATTTAATGCTTGAAACCAGGCACTTTGCTTAGAAATTTGTTCAAGGAAATCGATATTTTGACGGTACCTTCCCAATATATCTGTATCGTTTTTGTGCGTAGTAGGCGCTTGATTGGAACCCGCAAGGAAAGCGGAAGCGTGGCCGTCCCAAGCAAATCTGGCGCCGTACAGTCGCAGACGAGGCAAAGAGAGCCGGAAAGACTTGGAGCGAGGTGAAATACGAGGCTCAAGACCGAACGCGATGGAGACTCACTGTGGACTGTGGTCTGCCCCATCTAGGGGTTATAGCCTATAGGACATTAAGTCAAGTTAAGCTAACTTAATACCAATGTAATCTAGTTATTTCGATAGGGCGACTAGTTACGTTTAATTTGGTATCACCATTTTGTATAAACAATCAGTTTTAAACGGTCAAGCGTGTTAAAAAATTTTGTTTCGCATTTTATTCCCGCTTTTGTAACCATTATTTCTTGGAAAGTAGACAATATTTTAAATTGTTTTTTTCATTTTAAGGTAATAAAACCCTTTAACTCAATATAATTGCACAAAACTAAATGTTACATTAAACAGCGGATTAGTTACAGTTACGTATAACTGGAAAAAGGTTAGTAACAAAATGCCACTAATTCCGGCAGAACTCGTCTTCGGAAGGTATACTCACAGGAATGTCGACGGAAATAAGTAAGTACTCTTAAATTATTAAATTCGACATTAGGTTATCAGTTAGACATTTAATCTTGATATTATTGGAATTGAATAATATCTCAGTAATATGACCTATTTAGGCTTCCAAGCATGTGTGCTAAACTTGGATCAGTACCGGATTAGCCACATAGCAAGAGTAGCAAATGCTACGGGCCCCGCGAACTTAGGGGCCCCGCGCTCCAAAGCCTGTCTGACCATACCTAATAAAAAAAAGTAGGTATTAATTTAGATAGTAGCGTATAATATGTTGCATACCTTTAACGCGAAGCGCTTAGTCTGTACTTCACTTCCACATAAAAATAAACTCGACTTCGTCAAGTATAATCGTAAAAATAAGTACGTATTTATCTTTTTAACGTTAATTTTCAAATTTTAATTATAATCGATATACATATTTAGACTAGCATGTTATATTTTGTACCCTTTAGATTTTTATTTTTATATAGGTAGGTATACATTTATTTTGCGAGTTTACGTAGCCGAGATTGTACTTTTCTAATCGATTTTAATATAATATCGATAATAAGTATTTCGAGGAAACAAGCGAACTATTTAAATCCTGAAGTCTAACCAAGGGCCCCTAGGCAGAATTTGCTACAGGCCCCGCGCTGGCTTTATCCGGCACTGATTTGGATACAAACTCGAGACAATTGTTTGGTAGTTTCTTATATATAGGCATTCACGCATTTTAGGAAGGTAAATATAATTGTAGATAAATGATGTTGACAGAAAGCTTCCATTGTCTGTGTTACGCAAAACTTATTTTTTATTGAATTGTTTCTTTTTAAATTAAAACTTGACTAGAACCTTTTCCTCTGAAGCTCATCGGTAAGAAAATCATGAACTATAAGATATATTATTTATTATGATTTTCACAATTTATTCCAATTGTTTTTAATAAATTGAAGAATTTGATGAACACTTTCTTTCCCGCCTGTGCCACCGAGGTACTCTATTGAGAGGGAACACAAATCTTCTTTCCAATTTATTTTTACAATTGCTTGTGATAGAGGGTTGGGCTTTGAAGTATTTTCTATTATCTTTATTTCAGATGTTATATTTGAGGCATTATCCACGGGTCTAGCATTTGGCCTTTTAATTGGATCTTCATCTGTGTTATTTTCAACAGTACCATACATGATGCATTTATTGCTTTCTTCAATTTTTTCTCTTAAAGAATCATTATTATAACAATCTCTAATGCTTTGAACATCATCTTTTTTGTGGTGCTCTAGGGACTGTTCAATTATTCCTTTATTTTCAATTGGTGTATTTATAATGCTACCAAACTTGGGTTTTTTCAATAATTCATTGTCTAATTGCTTTTGAAGCCTTCTTTTACGCCTTTGATTTGACCAAGTATTTGTGTAAGCTATTATATTTAAACATAGTTCATTTTTCCTCTTAGTTATAATTTTGTATTGTATTTTTAAATCATCCAAAACAAACTTCAATTTATTACTTACACCTTCCATAGTATAAGATTGGTCAGGTACTTTAGGAATTACAAAAGTTATTGGAGAATTCTTTTTCTTAGTTTTATCTTTAACAGTAACTAGAAGAAGAAAAAAAATCTAATAAGTGCCTTCTTGAGATACATATTAGAGAATGAGCTAACTAATTTGTTTTATAGACTTAATTATCTTTTATCAGGTCAAGTAATCAAGATTTTCTTAGTTAAGGAATATTTTAAAAACAAACAATCTTATTATGAGTGCAGAATCTGTACAAAAAATACAAACCTAATTTTAATAAATCACAACTATTGTGGTAGGACCAAGCCACACCCCATCTTGTGACTCTACCTTGACAAAACTCTGTAGTTGTGCATTTGATTCCTTCTGCTTTAAGGTCTAATAGAAACTCCTTCAAATTGTACTTATGTCCAATCATAGTAGTAAATATCCTGAAAATTATGGGAAATAAAAATCAATATCTAAATAACTGGATTTAATATTATATATATATATTACCACATTCATACAATTCTGAAATTGTAGTAATAATGGCTGTTTTAGATATACTTATTTATATATCTAATCGCAGGCAAAGTTTTATTATAGTTATGAATAAAACAACTTACAGTATGTTATCTTTTAACTCTTGGCTTTCCTCTAGAATCTGTCTACAAAATTGTAACTCACCACCCTCTGTAACTAATTCTTGTGGTGACCCCGTAAAACCATTTTTAGGTGGAGGTCTGTAAACATTTATAGTTCAGATTTAGAAAAAGAGACCAATTTTTTTAATGCATCATTTATCTACTGAAAAATGTGGAGACTTATAAATGACTTAGCTAAAAACAAAGTGCATGACAGACCTGGACCAGACAAACTTGAAACGGCAGCTGGTACTATTACGGACAAAAAAGAAATATGTGAAAGTTTTAACTCATATTTTTCGACTATTGGCTCAACCCTAGCAAATATGATTTCTAAAAAATCAAAAGTACCTCAGATTTTAGAAGAGTGTAGTCTAACTGATAGAACAGAATTGCGATTTCTGAAACCAGTAACCACGAAAGAAGTTATTACCATAATTAAAAATTTGGACTGTAACACTGCATCTGGCATTGATGGTATTAGTACAAAATCAATTAAATGCGTAAAAGACATTATTGCCACGGAACTAACAGTCTGCATTAACTATCATTTGGCACGAGGTATTTTTCCCAACGAGTTAAAGGTTGCAAAAGTTGTACCAATTCATAAAGCCGGAAGTAAGCTTGACCCGTGCAATTATCGCCCTATATCAGTTCTCCCAGTGCTTTCTAAGGTCTTTGAGAAGATTCTTTATAACCAATTAGAGTCATTCCTTAATTCAAAAGGTTTCTTTTACCGAAAACAATATGGCTTTAGAGCTCAATCAAATACTCTCGCTGCCACAATTGACCTCGTAACCAAAATTAAAAATAAAATTGATCAAAAACAAGTTGCCTTAGGTATATTTATCGATCTAAAAAAAGCCTTTGACACCATTAGTCATGAAAAATTATTACAAAAACTAAAACTTACCGGTGTTACAGGCAAAGCACTTGAAATTTTTAAATCATATATGGAGAACCGAAAACAAATAGTAAAAATAGGTGAATATGAAAGCAATTCCTGTATCCTGAATTTTGGCGTTCCCCAGGGATCAATATTAGGCCCCCTCATGTTCCTCATTTATATTAACAGTATCAGTGATTTGGGTCTCAAAGGTGACATCTCCCTTTATGCAGACGACACAAGTCTCTTTTACTTTGGAAACTCGATCGAAGCTCTAATAGCCGACGCTCAAAATGATCTTAATCTGTTAAATGAGTGGTTTCAATCAAATCTTTTAACTATTAATATTACAAAAACAAATTATGTTATTTTTGCAGCAAAAAATAAAAAAATAAATAATAATTTCGAACTTAAAATAGACGGAAAAATACTTGAACGAAAACCTAAAGAAAAATATCTCGGACTTATTTTGGATAGTAACCTAACTTGGAAGCCACATCTAGAAAAAAATAAACTTAAACTAACTCCGCTCACAGGGGCACTGCGAAACATAACAAATTGTCTCCCACAAAAAGTGCGGTATCTGATCTATAATTCTCTGGTTAAGCCTCATGTCGACTACCTCATCGAGGTCTGGGGTACTGCAGCAAAGAGTAATTTGGATCCTATCCAGAGAACTCTGAATAGACTGATTAAAAACTTATTTAACTATAAAACTTCGGACGCCTACTGAAAGGATATACGAGGAAACAAAATTAATGAATATTAAACAAACGTACACATACTACACTTGTATTCTAGTACGCAAAATATTAAATAGGGAAATTAATTCTAATATAAAATTTTTAACCAAACAACAAACACGAAATACTAACTTAAGACGTGCTAGTTACTTGGTGACCCGCCCTCCTAGAACTAACTATGGCAAAAGAAGTTTGGAGTATGAGGGTGGTACAATTTATAATAAGTTACCATCAGTTATAAAAGCAGAACAAAATTATGCCCGATTTAAAAAGCTTCTAAAAACTTACACATTAATTACATACAAATAAGTGATTAAAATATAATATGTATATATATATATTGACAGGAATGCGATAACACTTGAAATGTTTAATGTCTAAAGAACTTTAAACTAACACTCCTCACGGTGTTAAAGAATTGTATTTGATATTGACCAAAATCTGCCTAAAAGTGATTTTAGTCTGTAAAAATGTTTTATAAACCTGGTACATGCCCTAAATATATAAATATAGGAATAAACTAAAAATAAAATAGTGTTATGAAAAAAATTAAAATAATCAATGTAAACTTGTTATATCAGACTATGCCATCAATGCCACATCTAGTAAAAACTCAAATTCGTACATCCGTGTTTTGCTTGGTTGACTGATCAAGTTTATTATGTCTACCCACATTTTTGGTGCTGTTCTGTTTTGTTATTTTATATATGTACCTACATCTGTGCGCTCTAATTTCTAATTTTTAATCTTAGTTTAAATATGTGTTTCTCAGTAAGTGAATTTTGTATGCAATTCTTATGAGAAATAAAGTTATTCTTAAACCTAAACCTACTATGTTTTATTGATATTGAAAATTGTACCTTGCCGGGCTTCGAGATTCCCATACTTCTTGTAGACTCACATAGAATGGTGGATTGCACATACAAAAGTCATATTGTAAATTTTTCTCCAGAAACAAATACTTTAGAGTAAATTTTGATTGATTTTTCCTTACTGTAATAAGATTGTTTTTAAGAAAACTCTGAAACAATGCTTTCATTTCACAAAATTCATAATAGTGTCACAACAAACTATTTCTTCATAGACAGTTTCATAACTTCATAGAGGGGTATGTTCATATTTATTATATGTATGGATAATAATAGTTATAGATAACAATTTTACACTATTTACACAAAATTTCTTAATTAGCAGATCATATTTTAATGGTAAAAATAACATAAATATTAATACAATCCCAAGTTAACTTACATGCAATGAGATCTTCTAAATTATTTTGTTTTACATTTTTATTAGCTACTTTTAAACTTTCATCATCAGTTTCTGTACCAATCATATGCCAGTTATTTTTTTTTGCAGCCAGTAATGGATATATGGCACAGGCACCAGTACCTATATAAAACATGCACAATATTTTAATTTGACATACAATGGTGATGACAAAAACAGTAACTTAGATGGTTACCTATGTCAATGCCTTTAATATTATCGGTCCGGTCAAAGGTTTCAAGTAAATCTTCTATCCAAAGTATATAGTTTAATCTCAATGGAAGCGTTGGTACCAGCCGATCCTCAGGTATGGAAACATCTAGATCAAAATCTGATTTAAGCAAACAAGCTGTTAAAACTCTCAGAACTCGTGGATCTTTAAAATCAATTGTTATTTTGCCCGTTACATCCTGAAACACATAATATTTAGTTTGTACAAAAATTTTAAATGTCAAAAAGCTGTAACAGAAAAAAAAGATAAATTTAATTTTAATTATTGGACTAACCAAACGACAAATGCTGGAAAATTGTGGATAAATGTCGGCTAACTTTTTAAAGTCTGGAGGAATTCTATAAATATTACGAGGATGCATATATTTATTCATAGCCATATTAATTTCTGTTTTAGTTTCACTTCCAGGAATGGGCTAGAAAGTAGAAAATCAGAATTTTTTTAAGCAATAAGTATAAAAACATAAATATCCGTAAACCGAAAACGACAGACTAATTTAACTTACAAATAAGAACCACAGACTACGGAAGATGTTACATGATCTTAAAGCCGCAATACGGGAAGCCAGCGGAGTGGCTATTCGGGACCCGAATTGGCTCAAATACCTTGGACTGGTTCGAGACCCACGGTGAACTTTTAGATCATATTTCGTGGCACTTGGTCTCAAACTCACCGCCACGGCAAATAAATATGCTGTCGCGCATAATGACAATCCTCGGTGGGCCGAGTCGCTGCTTAAATACGCCAATGTGGTGCGGGCGAAAGCATTGTACGTACGGGTGCGGGGTGCCCCATATGGGCCAAACTGACTCGGCACAATGGCACAATTCTCAAGCAGTCGCTGTCAGGGTTGCTAGGATAAATGCACTATGTATCATGACGCAGTGTTGAATAATGAAGTTACGCTTAGCGAAGTATATTGGAGGAGGGCCGAAGATAGGGAAAGGGGGAGCAACCCGATTATGAAACACGAGAAGTAAACGCGTGCCTCCAAAAACCAAGAAATGCTAGTAGAGTGTGTGAGCGAGCTGGCGGGTGCGAGTGCCAGTCAATATACGATCGAAAAGCTCAGACCTCTGCTTCAACATTGTGTTGTAGGGTGTGAGGACCAACCTGCCACCACTAAGGACGGAGACATCCTGGACGATTTCCTGAATACGCTGAGGTGAAGGCCCAGCATGGGAGGCGGAAAGGAGGCCTAGGGCCTAAGAAGGAGTATATCGCTTTTACTACTTTTGGACAAGCCTACCAAAGTTAGTAAAAGCTACGAGGGTGGTCCGAATCGGACCGTTCGATTAGTACTTCGACTCTCCGTCCGATAGCACAACTATCGCAAGAGCAATTTTTCATTGTTAAGAACATTCTCGTAGACAGCTATTGCAAAAAGTCGTATTAGCAGACCGCTGAGACAGTGGCATCTCAAAAGACCGCGTGGGTCATATCCTGCATGAAGTTTTGGGCATGAGAAAGCTGTCGGCGCGATTGGTGCCGCGTGTTCTCACTCCGGACAACAAGCGCAATCGTGAGTCCTCTTAAGAGTAATGTTTGCCGAAAAACGCAATCGGAAGGAGTTTCTGTGTCGTTTTGTAACCGTGGACGAAACGTGGATATAGTGGTACACACCAGAGACCTAATAACAGTCAAAACAGTGGACTTCAACCGGCGAACGTGCTTCGAAGAAGGCGAAGACTGTCTCATCGGCCGGAAAGGTGATGGCCACCGTTTTTTGGGACTCAGAAGGTATGATCTACATCGACTACTTGTAGAAGGGCAAAACAATCACAGGGCTCTACTATGCTGGATTATTGGGCCGTTTTGAAGCCGAATTGAAGAAAAAACAGCCCTATTTGGCGAAGAAAAAAGTGCTCTTTCTTCAGGATAACACACCGGTTCACACCGCTACGACCAAATTGGTAGAATTAGGCTACGAACTGCTGCACCATCCACTGTATTCTTCGGATTACACCTCGTGGGACTTATTTTTGTTTCCAAATTTGATAAAGTCACTCGCCGGGCAGAAATTTGAGTCGAATGAGGCGGTTATCGCCCCCACGGAGGCCTACGTTAGAGACCTCCAGAAGACGTATTTTTCAGACAGGTTAAAGAAGTTAGAACATCGTTAGATCAAGTGTATCGAACTCAAAGAAGATTATGTTGAGAAATAAATCGCCATTTTAAAAAAAAAATCTTTTATAGGCTAAGTACTTATCGGACCACCCTCATGTATTAAGCGCGTACAGTGACTGCCCGTGAAAATTTTTCTACAATTTTTGCGAGGCTGTCATGAACGTGAAAGAATCCTCGCTCACCAAATGCTCGCCACCGGCCACCTAAAAAGTGCCCAAGCTGGAAAGCAAAGTCCAGGCGTTGAAAAGAAAGGATGCCGATCTATCCTTGCAAGTACTGGACTTGATCTTCCCTAGCTCTAACTACACAAGCGAATCGATCGGTATGGAAAGGATACTTGCGGATGCAGTGTCAAGTATCATCATACGCTAACAATGGGTGTGGAGAGGCGGACGCAACCATCGTATCGCGTGCCGGAAAGCAGATAAGTCTCTGTATGCACTAATAGCGAGTCCCACATAATCCTTCCGCACTTAGCAGCCGCGTCGCGAAGGGGTACAATGCAAGTTAAAAAAAAGCAATATGTGATAAGTCTGAAAATAAGTCTCTACAATTTATTTATTTCAAATTTATGGCCTGGTGACGAGACCTTAAAGCCAAGTCTTATTTTCAAAAAGCATGTAATTGCACTTTTTATTAAAATTATTCACTCGTTTATTTAAATCCTAAATTTATACTTTATTATTTTTGAGTTAAATCTGTGCAAATAAGTAGGCATTGGTGCCACCAATCACCATAGAGATGCCTTCCTCTCGAAGTCGATATGTCATATTGCCCATTGTTATTTGACATTTGTGAACTCGACGAAGTCTGAAAAGAATTAACAAGATTAATATAATATTTTATATTAATATTAAAAAGTATTTTAATTTCTCGATTATTTAATACAAAGTGAGATTATTGACGCAATAAATATGGTTGATAAAATTGATATGGCATTAGATGATATTATACAAGCTGGTAAAAAAGGCAGAGGCGGTGGGCCTGGACGAAAATTTGAAACGAAAAGATCAAATCGTGGTTTTCGGGGTAGCAATCGTAATGGGGGCGTCTTGCGTGGCAGTAATCGTGGTGGAGTATCCAAGCCCGCAAATTATAAAAGGGTAAATCTTAAAGTTTACTTTCGTTGTTGATTATTATACATAAATAAAAATGGCGGACAAGCGTGCTTTCGCGTCGTGTCCCCCTTGAGTTATGATGTTTTGTTGCTCCAAACATTATTTAATGGTTTTGCAACTCCCAAGATTTTTACTTCAAATTTTTCTTACATCGGTTGGACATATTAAAAACACGTTCTTCGCGTCCTGTATTGTATTTCTACGTCGCATATATCCACCATAGATTTAGGCCTTGTCAGTATCAAGGGTGTCACCATGATTGAAGAGCAGGTGTAGAAAGATACACAATACAAAAGGACTATTCAATGAAGATTTCATTTCTTTACCTAATATGAATATGTGGCTGGATATAACTGGGCTTTTACTAAGAGTACCTTATCAGTGTTAAGTGGAAAACAAGTGAACATATTTTTGTTACTCTGTTTAGTTACATGAATTATAACTTAATTTAATTATTAAAAGGTTTAGTTATGAAAATATTTTCAACAATATACAGAGGTTTTGAATTTCAACTTGATGCATATGAGAGCAGATGGCATGACAATTTAGGACAAACTATTTCAGGGTGATGTTAACAGCACATGGAAACATGATATGTTCAATGAATTCAGTGATCAGAAGATACAGAGAGGTGCACCAATAACAACTGGACCTACCAAACTGCTTGTTTCTAATTTAGACTTTGGAGTTTCTGACTCTGATATACAAGAACTGTTTTCGGAGTTTGGCATTTTAAAAAGTGCTGCTGTACACTATGACAGATCTGGTAGATCATTGGGTATGTTAATTTGATCATGTTAATATAAATTATATTTTTTACCTTTAACACTTGATTTTTTGACCATTTCATCTGATTTATTTAGGGACAGCTGATGTACTTTTTGAAAGAAGAGCAGATGCATTAAAAGCAATGAAACAGTACAATGGTGTTCCCCTTGATGGTCGAGCAATGAACATACAGCTAGCAACATCAGAAATAAGCACATTTAGAGCAGAACCCAGAAGTAGATCTGTAGGTGGAGGTGGTGGTCCTATTAGAAGAATGTCTGATAAAAGAGGTAATATTTTTCACTAATTAAAGGTAATTCGAACAAACTGTGCTTGCAATATAATTTCACAATCAAACTCGTAGGTTGCGAGGTTTGCAAGTTGTGTTATTATGATTTATACTCTCCTGTAACACCTATAATACAATACAGCTATCAATCAATATTTAACCAATGATCTCCTCTGGGAGGATGAGAATGTAAAACAAAAGATGTAACAATAATTGTTGTTCCATGCCTATCCACAGACTTGTTGACGAATTATATCTTAAAAATTAATCTACAAAATTATGTCCTAAATATCTTATCCTATACCTATAAAATTTTATGTACAATTTATACATTCTTGCATAATATTATTTACTATATCATATTATCAATATACAGGCATCAATGTCAGAAACTCAACTGGAAGAGGAAGTGGGAGACGTGGTGGGCGAGGAGGAGGAGGACCAAGAGGAAAGAAACCAGTTCCCACAGCTGAACAACTTGATGCAGAGTTAGATGCTTATGTTAAAGAAATAAAATGATGATTACTAGTTGAAATAGGTTTAGCTAATAGGCATCCTTTAAGATATATTTTTGTAATTATTAATGTGACAACCGCTAAGTTAAAAGAATAAAATAAAAGTAAGAAAATACAAGGTATAAGGAAAAATAAACAATAAATTACATAGTGAGTGAGTGTCAATAGTACGAAGACTAAATATTACATTAATATACCATAAGCACAAAAAAAACAACTCTTTCATTTATATAAAAATAATAATCTCTGGTATTGATTTTACCTTTTGTTCTAGCTTTTTGTTTTGGCAAAGTTTTCATTAAAGCTTTAATAATAATATTTAAACATAGTAAATGTAAGGTAGAAATCCAGTTTGTATGGTTGAAAAAGAAAAGCAAATTGGGGTGATACAATTTTTTTAATTTTCTTATTTATGGAGCCAGATATGTGGATAACATTTTTTAAAACTTGCAATATTACTAAAGAACAAAAACTATTTTAAAAGATTACAAATAAGGTTTTATGCTCTCCTTATTTTCATATACTATTCTTAAGAAATCTACATATCTTGCACATAAATGAATCCATTCAAGTTAACCTCTAGGTCTAGACAAAGCTTTCGTTAGGATATCGGCTGTGATTTTTGATATTTATAAATACTGTACCAGCAGAAATAATATAGCATTTCTTTCTAACAATTCTCTAACCAAATTATATATCAATTTGCTTTGTAGTTTGTACATTTGTTCAGCGTAAAATGTAATTGTATAAACAACAATTACAATTTAACAGAAAGAAACGAAGGTCGAAGACGAACGTTTTTAAAACGATAAACTAATGCGAAAAACATTAGACAGATTATATATTTTTTCTATTCATTAATAAGGGTTAATGAAGCCTCTAGACTTCTTAGCTGTGAACATAAAATACAAAGTCTTCCTTATCTGTGGTGAATATAATATTGTTATTTGTAAGCAGTAAGCGTAGGTTGTTTTCTAGTTAAATTAGTAAACACATTTAAGTGTGGTAAAATCCCAATTCAAGCAACGAAATGATTGCAATATAAGTCTAAGTAAAATTTTTTAAGCAATCTAGGTTTGTGGAAACAGCGTACCCTCTACGAACTATGAATTTATCAGGTGAGCCCAACTCTTGTAGTAATTTAAGTTAAGAACCTATTATTCTTCTTTAACTTAATGTTTTTCCTTATTAGATCCTTCAGATGGTGGGTCCAGCAGCGATGAGAGTTCCATCCCGGCAAAACGCCGACGATCAGATACCTTTGGTGCTTCCTCTACGACCTCTCACGGCTCTGGTATGTATCTAAAGCAATTGAAGTAGAACTGTATTGTACCGATATGGAAACAAATAAATATTTTAAATGATATGTTAATTTAATAACCACCCAAATCTCATTGTGTATTAATTTCACCCATTTACTTATAGTTGTTCAAGATGATTCAGATGATGAAAATAAAGCATATGGTGATCGTACCTCAGATGTTGGGGAAGACAACAGTAATACTGGACTCCCTGTGAAACCATTGCAAAGAAGTAGTAGGTTGAGTCAAAGTAGTTTGAGTGAAAATTGTTCTTCCCCCAATGACGGCTATATAGATGATTTTAGACCAGGATTTGATGACAATGATGAGGTTTCTATAAGACCTGGTTTCTGTGGCAGTGGAGAAAATTCATTTTATAATAAAGTACCAGAGGAGTTTACAAAAGATATTAATGATGCATTTAAAAGTGAATATTCAGAAAAATCGAAGAGAATAATGAGCAATATGGGTTATAAGCCTGGCAAAGGTTTAGGTAAATTTGAACATGGAAGAGTTGACCCCGTTCAGGCCTCAACACAAAAGGGTCGAAGGGGTTTAGGTTTGACTCCATCATTGGTAGGAGAAGTACCTACAGATTTTAAGTGGTCACCTGATGAAGCCAAAGCTGAAGCAAAAGAAGCAGTAGTAAGTATTTATCAATTTCAATAAGTGATTTTTTATTGTTGGCACAAAAAAGAAACTAAAGATAATAAAAGTAACAAAACTCACACAAGAAGAGTTACACTTTTTGTAAGAGCTTGCATTAGACAATTATTAAAAAAAAATAAGTGAATTGAAGATAGTGAAGGAAAAAGAGATTTAGAAATGATATGAGTATGAGTAACACTGAGTGAGGTCTGAAGAACACCTTTTCATGTAACTTTTATTTATTAGTCTTCTTTATTAAACCATCTTTGGTTCTTGGGCCTTTAAGTTTTTAGCTTTAGTGCCTTTAAGCTGACATAATTGTTTTACAAGGAAGCAGACATTGAACACTGAACCTGAGGAGAATCTCAGTATCTTAAAAAAACCCCGGCATTATAATTCAGTGTATAATGAAATGATTTCATAACTTTATATTGACAATGAGTGTTTTATTTTCATGTAAGAGTAATTATTTGCTTTTTAAAGATCTGGCTGCCGCCCCCTCCTATTGAAACCTTATCAGGAGATATTTTGGAGGAATGGTTAACAAAAGGGCCAAAAAAACTAAGCATAGATAATGAAACACAGTTTGTGGATCCAAACATTCTACAGGGTATTTTGAATGCTAAGGTAATCAACCATAAATAAGTCCCTATCAACTATCCAAATTGCTTTTATTTATTTTATATTGTTTAAGTTGCAAAATTTTTTTAGACAATATTTGACACTTTAGATGATGAAGATTTGAGAAATGCAAGGTTTCGAAGCAATCCATATGAAACGATTGGATCTGTTATATTTTTAAACAGAGCAGCTGTCAAAATGGCTAACATTGATGCTGTATTTGATTATATGTTCACCAATCCTAAAAAAGAAAATGGTGAACCAATGATTACTGAAAAGGATATATTATATTTTGCTGATGTCTGTGCTGGACCTGGTGGATTTTCTGAATATGTTTTATTTAGAAAGAGTTGGAAAGCCAAAGGTAATGTTCTTACCTTAATACATATTATACAGAATAAGTATTGTTCTATATCATTGAGGAAATACATATGTATAAATTGGAAAAAAAAGGTGCTAATTTATAATAAAAAGTAATATAAATTGCAACAAAGTTAGCATATAATCAAAAATATTTAATTGAATGTGTATTTAATTTCAGGATTTGGTTTTACTTTAAAAGGAGGTAATGATTTTAAACTCTTAGACTTCTATGCTGGTACTCCAGAGACATTCAATACATTTTATGGTGTGAAGGATGATGGCAACATTTTTGATCCTGCTAATTTGATGTCACTCAAAGATTATGTTTTAAATCAAACAGATGATAAGGGGGTGCACTTTCTAATGGCAGATGGGGTATGTTACATAATTTAAATTTTTAATTGTCAGAACAGCTAGTGACATCAAAACTACTTATTTTATACTAGCAGATCGGCCAAGCGTTGCTGTGGCTAAGGTTTTTGTTACATTACATAGTAGTAAACTATTCAAGGGAAACGGTAGGAGAACACCAGTCATGGGGACCACCATGCTTTATTGGTGGTTATGCTATTAAATTGTAGCTTATGTGAAACTTTGGTACTTTCAACACAGAGCCATCTGTTAGAATTGTGACTATTAAATAATAAACAAATATTTTGCAATAAAATAATATTGCGGGTATAAATTGAGATTTTAAGTAAGATCAAACTGCACACGGTGTGCAAATTTGATTGATATCGGTTCAGTAGTTTAGGAGTCCATAGCGGACAAACAACGTGACACGTAATTTATATATATTAAGATAAATAATGTGCAATCTGTATCTTTAGTATGGCTTCAAATATAGCTGTGACAATATTGTATGATATTTTCAGGGGTTTTCTGTGAGTGGTCAAGAAAATATTCAAGAAATATTATCAAAACAGTTATACCTATGCCAGTGTCTCGCTGCCTTGATGCTAGTGAGAACTGGTGGTCATTTTGTTGTAAAACTATTTGACGTTTTTACAAAATTTAGCGTTGGTCTTATTTATATTATGTACAGATGTTTTGAAAAAGGTAAGGCAATATACCTACATTTTTTTATTTGAAACATCCTTGAAGGTCATCTACCGATATATACCTCTTGGGTACTGAAGCTCTGAAAGTTTATTTGCTCTTATCAATGTCATAAGTTTACCTGTTATTCAGACAATTGATATCTAATTTATTCTAACCCAATTTAATATCAAATATTTTGGAAATACTCTCAAAATTATATGTTACATTTCAGTGTGTATATTTAAACCAGTGACATCTCGCCCGGCCAATTCCGAGAGGTATCTAGTATGTAAGTGGAAAAAGGTTGGCACAGAGTCGGCTGAGCGACATTTGCAGTCAGTCAACTCAATGTTGTGGAGTGAGCTCGATAGAGAGGATGATGTTACTGAATTGGTACCATTGTCTGTGCTCATGGATGATCAGCCCTTTTTTGAGTATATATACAAGAGCAATTGTGTGTAAGTATAAGTAATATTTTGCTTAAATTAAAACCTCACTCTATATATAGTATGAACAACGAAACTCTTTAAAATCGTATAAAGATTTTCAACCCTACTATCATTTATCAATATTACCAAAATTGTGGGCGATTAAAAAAGTAATATATATTATATGATATATAAGAAAATTTTTGTTTAAATCTGTTTAACTATATTTAACACACCACTGTGTACAGATTGATTGAGTAGGAAAAATTTAAAAAAAAAATTATAAACTTACTAGAATGCTAGATCTTGCCTCCAGAAACCACCTATCCCTTCATTCCTCTAATAACTGATCACTCCTGTTCCCTTCGTATAGATCCAGCTTTTTCAATACCTCCTTCATTGTTACTGCTATTTGGTTGTGAATGTACTGCCTGTAGCCGTGCAGACCTCGCGCAGTAGGAAATCATTAATATGTATGTATGTTTTTCCACAAATTTCTCGAAATCTAAGTCATATCGAGATGATCCTACACTTTTGTTTTAACCAGCTATATCCATCTTAGGGAACGGTCCAAGTTTCATTAATATTGGTTCAGTAACACTTTTTCCCCTTAGATTGTATTCAGGTATTTGAAGTCTGTTTAATTCTTGTTATTTATTTTTATGAATTAATGGCAAACTGGCCTGCCGCATCAGGTCGAGGTGAGAATTTAAGTCGGTAACTAAATATATTGTATTACAGACTTGGAGAGAAACAAATCAAAAATCTACTGAAACTAGCGGAATTTAGTAAAAACAAAGAATTAAATGAGACGTGTCAAGCTGAAATGAGAGAACAGTGTTTGCGGTTGTGGAAAGTAAGATTAATAGCATATGCACGATAATAATTTCATATGCATGCGAAAGTAAAAAAATATTTTTAGAGCAGCAGTCTAATATTGCCTATGGTTTAAACAGAAAACTTTAGTCTTAACAGATATAAAAAACTTCTAATTCTCTAGACTAATAATAATAATGTCGTTAAGAAATTGTATTGAAAAGGATACAGTATTCTATATGTTGTCTAGCTCTAACATTTACTCCTTTGGTCTGTGCCTCTTATCTGTATGAGATTACCATTTCCATGCCAACAAATATATTATTAAAACTATGCAGGAGTAGCAGAATAATTGAGACTGCAGTTTAATCATAGTAAATTGATTATTGCTGATTTAAAAAAAAATCTATAAAACTAAACTATATATATATGTATATAACATATTTTATAACACATCTCTTTTTTGATCATTTTTGATCAAGCGGTAAAATAAAATAGTTAATAATTCTGGTTATCAGATGTTCCCATTTCAATACTATAAACCTATTTGTGTGTGCTCTAGCTAAGTTCACCAAGAGCTGCATGTTTTAATATTAGTTATAAGATGTTGATATATATATTTATTTATTGTATTTTTAATTGTAGAATTATCTAGGTATTGCGTAGTTCTGTAGTATTAGTATTAACTATAAAAATAGAACATATATGTAAGAAAATAAAGAAACTTACAGGCAATGCAGGCATTGTAAAGCCTTAGCAAATTAAATTTGCATTTAGAGATAATTTTTACAGCTTCCTGACAAAGTGAGAACACAGCCTGAGCGTAAGGGACCAGATGAGACCATGTTAAGCATATTGGCTAAATTACCAAAGCCACCTGCGGACTCAAACAATGCATTTGCTTTTAAAAATGCAACCCTTAACAAACAGCCAATATATTTGGAGACCCCAGCGGATATGAAATTACTGAATAACGCATACGATTGGCAATTTACATTCCTCACGAGTAGTAAAGGCAGTACTGATTTGAGGATTTTTATTGGTAGGCTCAGTAATATTTTTGCTTTCCTTATTATAGCCAAATCGAATAAGCTCTAAATTAAATAAACACTTATAAAGATTATTGTTAAATTAATAATAAAAAGTTATTCTATGTTATACTTATCATTATCTTAACTTATGCTTAGGGCTCCGCAGTTGTTAAAGAAAAAAAATCCTAAATCTATAAATTGTTGAAGTGCCTATGTTATAAAATGTTAAATGTCTTCTAATCTAATAAAAAAATGCTTTGCAGGTTGTGGGGGCAAGCGTGTTTATCAATTAGACGGAACTAGCTGGAGAATTTTAGCTGACTTGCAAATAACACTACCTGCAAATACAATTTTGTATGGAGAGGTAAAATTTTTGTGAATTTCTATCTTATTTCTAAATATCTTTAACACAAAAATTTACCTACATCTTACTTATTTAAGGTAGAGATGGGTCTTTAACGATAAAAGAACTGTCTACAGTCGATTGATTCTATGTTGCCTTTTCACTTTTCAAGTAACCTGTTTTGTATTTATTGCAGATAGTGAAAGAATGCCGTGGCCAAAGCATGCGACAAATGCACACTAAGGCACTACACGTCATAGATGCTCTGATGTTAGGAGGGAAAGATATATCAAATCTACCACTATCAGCTCGGTAAGTATTTATTGATGTAATATTAAGATTTTATCTTAATATATATATTTCTTCTGTGCGTGTGTATGTGACTGGACTCCTCTCAAACGACTGGACCGATTTTGATGAAATTTTTTGTGTGTGTTCAAGGGGATCTGGGAATGGTTTAGATTCACAAATCAGCCCGGCAGATGGCACTGCAGTCGGTACTTTCATACTTTGCTTAATATCCTAATCGCTTTAAATATCATGCAGGACAACGTCTGTGGGGTCCACTAGTAAATGTATATATTGGAACCGACGGGTGGGATAATAGTTATTAAAACAAAATATTATATTATTTAAAAAAATGATAAAGTATTTTATTTACTGAAAAAAATATTTGAATATAATAACAACGATGTTCTGCCGTCGTTTTACTCTTGATATTTCACTTTAATTTAGTTGTTGCTGTATTCTATTTAATTATAAACAGACCTGCCTCCTAATTCTGGAAGTGTGGAATGTTTGAAACTGGTATTTAGTTCCTCTTTTTGTTTCAGAGTTAATCAATGCTCTCTATTTTGTACTGCATTGGAAAAACATTTGTGTACACCGGGCTTACCAATACGATGTAAACGTTTCTTCAATCTAGAGTTATTTTCAACAGCAATAGCCAATTTAGAGTATCGGTCAATGAAAAGAATACGAAAAGCTGTGACTATGGACATACCTAAGCGTAATAATAGAGATGATATGTTCTATGTTGTTGGCTCTTTGCTTTTTATAAGAGAAGTGAGAGGTACTAATGAACATATCCATTTTTTAATTGTGGAACACCATCCCCAAAGACGCATTTTTGTGTTCATTTTGATGCTTATATTGGCAGTTATAAACAAAGAAACCAAGTGATAGATTTTACGATCAGGCATACACATAAATCCAACTTGTAAAATATTACTGTTATAAAATGTGTTAAAAGCGAAGTTTAAATTTAATACACAATGTTATGACTGACACAAACATACTGTTAAAGGATTGAAGTCCATTATATTTTTTTGAATGATAAATCACTGTTATTTTTAATATATAATTATTTTTCTTTTTAGAACCATGGTCAGGTCAAATGTCGAAATCAAGAGGTTTAAAATATTATTTCCGCATGGACAAAGATGGTAAACGGTACAGTGAGTATGAAATTCCTGATGATGCTACATTGGATATGATATCTGCATACAAGAATCGGATTATGTGGTCCTGGGGTGATGCTGCCAATGCCATTTTCGATGGACAGGTACAAAATGGGGTGTCCAGAACGGATATGGAAGTATATGTCGCTCGTAATATTGACAGATAACTTACTATGAGTGTATAGTTGCATAAGTGAAAGTAAATGATTTTTTATTTTAAATAATCAAAGTTTAATAATAAATGTGTATAATTAACAAACATATTTATTTTTTTAATGCCGCCCATTCCCAATGCTGTTTAATGAATAGGGGTAAGGAATGCAAAGATATTTTAAATATGTATATTAAGAAAACTAATTTAACACAAAGAAAAAGAGAGTCATATGGCCAGGATGTTTCATGTTGCGTGGGAAATTTATCCATAGTTTTTTTTTAAATTTAAAAGTAATCGTTATTTAATCAAGACAAATAAACTTTTTATACAAACATCAATAAGGATTTAGATCAAAATCTAATACATTATCAGCTACAATTATTCTAATTACAAAAATTAAAACTAATTTAGACCAAAAGAAAATGGTCCTTGTAGTATTCATTGATATAATGAAAGCTTTCGACACAGCTTTCCACTCGCTTCTCGTAGAAAAGCTAGAAACGATAGGATAAACCGGCAATGCCTTAAAAATGTTCAAATCATATTTAAACAATAGATTCCTAGTTAAAATTAATGATTGTCTAAGTAAACTCTTACCTAACCCTTGTGGAGTACCCCAGGGATCAATATTGGGCCCATTATTGTTATTAATTTATTTAAATGACATACAACACCTTAACTTGCATGGACAGATAACCTTGTATGCGGATGATACCTGTCTCCTAGACACTGGTTCATCTGTGCATGATAATATAATTTCTCGAGTGCAAAAAGACCTTGACCATGTATACTTGTGGTTTCAGTCGAAATTGCTAACTATCAACATTGCTAAAACATCGTACTTAATTTTTTGTTTAGTGGGAGTGCCATGCTGTTGCCTTCGGGCTTCAGCCAAATGGGCCACTGTCTCTTAGAAAACCGGCGTGAAGTGATGCAATAGGTTCGCCTTATTGTACTCGCGTTTCGTACGGTGAGGGACTCCCGGAGCCCATCCCCCCCCATATGAAATATGAAGGTGCAGAACAAACAGAATCTACCCCAGGGGGGTACCACACGCGCTCGCGGTGGAGAATCCCCCTCTGGGCGTCCAACACCGGGACACTCAGCACCCGGTGGTGGACGCACAGGCTGCCCTTCATATTCTGGGGAGGGCAATTCTGCGCTCAACAAAAACAGTTATCGTTCTCGGGGCAAACGGAGCAATTCAACAAAGGCACCCCCGTCCACGCTCGCCGTGGACTTCACAAATGTTAGGGGGCTCAATTCCAATATCAACGCAGTCCACTACCATTTAGAGACTGCGAAGCCGGCCTTGCTCTTTCTTACCGAGACTCAGATTTCCTCCCCGGCTGATACTTCCTACCTCTCCTACCCGGGGTACAAATTGGAACATTCATTTGTGCCGCGGGCTTTGCGTGTACGTCAGAGAGGATATCTGTTCTCGTCGCCTCGGGACGCTTGAAGGAAGGGACCTATCTAACCTCTGGCTGCGCGTAGACTGCAATGACCATCCGCGATTCTACGCATGCCTGTATAGGTCCCATAGCGGAAATACCGAAACTGACCGACTCATTGAGCACATCCAAATGGCTACAGATTCCCTGCTCGAAAGGGTTCCTACCGCTGAAATCGTGATACTTGGCGATTTTAACGCCCACCATGCCGATTGGCTCGGCTCTGAAACCACCGATCACCCAGGAAGATCCTTTCACGACTTTGCTTTAGCCTACGACCTGACACAAATGGTCCCTGCGATTACGCGAATACCAGATGTGGATGGTCATAAACCCTCTTTGTTGGACCTTCTGCTGACTTCACATCCGGAGAACTATCAAGTCTCTGTTGACCCGCCATTGGGTTCATCGGATCATTGTGTGGTCCGAAGTACTGTGCCATCTACGCACCCTTCACGGCCCCGCTTTATGGGTTGTCGCCGTATTTGGCACTATAACGCCTTTAGTACACCTACGCGTTCGTATGCGGCTGCGAATCTTTGCGAAATAATTGCGGTAGCGAAATATCTGCGGAACGTTAGTACACTGCAGGTTTTTCGCAAGGATATGTCATTGTAGCTTTCGTGGGCTGTAGGTGCAGACGTCGTTTCAGAATGTCATCTGAGTCGTCCCAGTCGTCGCTTTCAGATTCTGAAGAGGATTTTGTAATCAACATGCCCAACTAAATATAATTCGGGATAATTTCGAATCAAATTCAATATTTTCGGCTTCCATTGTGCGAAATTCTGTCCTCACTGACAGAACGCGTGGTGACGCCTTGCGATGCGAAACTTCACTAGCGAAACGTCTGCGTCTGTGTAACAGCCATTTCGCAGTTACTTGCGAAACAATATCGACAAGGACGCAACTATTTCATCTAGCTATATATTAGAGCGAGACAAAACACATGCGAAACGTTGCCATACAACTTACAGTTTTTTCGTCGTTTCGCTGCCGCATGCGATTGCGTAGGTGTACTAAAGGCGTAAGTCAGCAGATTGGGACGGGATGCGGTCTTTCTTTGCGTCCTACCCTTGGGGGCTTATGTGCTTTTCGCCGGAAGCTCCAGATTCCGTCGCCGCCTCTGTCGCCGAAGTGGTTCTGCAGGGCATGGAACTCTTTATTCCATTTTCTGCGGTGCCGATCGGTGGCAAGTCTCAGCCCTGGTTTAAACGTTCTTGCAAGGCGGCCTCGCGTCGAAAGCGAGAATGCTTTAAGGCATGGGCGGAAGCGGCGAAATCTCGTGATGCCAATACCAGCGAACTTAAAACAGCATATAACTCAGCCTCCAGGTTCTTCAAACGGGAAATCACTAAGGCAAAGTTAGAGCATATTGCCAGATTTGGCGAGAGATTGGCCAAGCTCCCTTCAGGGACTCGAGCCTTCTGGTCTCTCGCCAAAGCTGTCCAAGGGAATTTTTGTCAGCCCGCCATTCCGCCACTGCACAGGGAGGATGACTCTTTGGCCCACACTGCGAAAGAGAAGGCCGACCTTTTGGGCGGTCTCTTCGCGTCCAACTCGACTTTGGATGACCAAGGAAGATCACCACCGACCATTTCGCGGTGTGATTCTTCGATGCCGGAAATCACATTCCGGCAACGTGCTGTCCGCAAAGCACTATCTTCCTTGGACATTCATAAGTCGAGCGGGCCGGATGGTATCCCCCCAATTGTGCTGCGTACTTGTGCTCCTGAGTTGGCTCCGGTCTTAACGCGCCTTTTCCGGTACCTGTACTCGCTCGGCACTGTCCCGAATTACTGGAAGACCGCTTCGATACATCCGATCCCTAAAAAAGGCGATCGCTCTGATCCGTCCAACTATCGCCCAATAGCTATAACCTCCTTGTTCTCCAAAATAATGGAAACCATTATTAATTGCCAGCTCTTGTGGTATCTAGAGGGCCACCAGTTGATTAGCAATTCTCAGTACGGCTTTCGTCGTGGTCGCTCAGCTGGTGACCTTGTATACCTTACCCATAGGTGGGCAGAGGCAATTGAGTCCAAGGGGGAGGCGCTGGCGGTAAGTTTGGACATAGCGAAAGCCTTCGATCGGGTGTGGCACAGAGCACTGCTCTCGAAGCTTCCATCCTATGGGCTTCCCGAGAAATTATGCGATTGGATCTCCAGCTTTCTGGCCGATCGGAGCATCAAGGTCGTCATCGACGGAGCATGTTCCGACCTTAAACCTGTGAACGCTGGGGTCCCACAAGGCTGTGTTCTATCCCCGACCCTATTTCTTTTGCATATCAATGATATGTTGCAACTTAGCAACATTCATTGCTATGCGGATGACAGCACTGGGGATACTTTTTACACTGGCCGGGCAGGTATTTCTCGGGCAGTTGTTGATGAGTACCGGAACAAACTTGTGTCTGAAGTCGAAACTCTACTACGTGGAGTCTCAGACTGGGGCAGACAAAACCTAGTCCAATTTAACCCCAAGAAGACACAAGTTTGCGCGTTTTCCGCTAAAAAAACACCCTTTGTCGCTACTCCTCTTTTCGAAAACACTCTTCTTAAAGCCACAGCCAGCATTGGAATGCTTGGCGTTGACATATCGAACGACGTTCAGTTTTGCGGTCACTTGGAGGGAAAGGCTAAATTAGCCTCCAAAAAGCTTGGTGTGCTCAGCAAGGCGAGGCGGTACTTCACTCCGGGCCACCGCATGCAACTATATAAAGCGCAAATTCGGCCCCACATGGAGTACTGCTCTCACCTCTGGGCGGGGGCTCCCCAGTACCAGGTCCTTCCACTTGACCGTATACAACGCAGAGCGGTTCGAATCGTCGACGACAAATCCCTCTCCGAGCGGCTTGATCCTTTGGCGTTGCGTAGAGATGTGGGGTCACTCTGCATCTTCTACCGCATTTACCATGGAGAGTGTTCAGAGGAGTTGTTCAGATTAATACCTGCAGCTGAGTTTCATCATCGGACGTCGAGACAGAATACGAAATTCCACCCGTATCACCTCGACGTCCGCCGTTCCACAACTGAGCGTTTTTCAAGGCAGTTTTATTAATTATGGATTATATGGATTATATATTGACAATAACTACAACGCACATAAATCTTTTAATGGAACTGGAACCTCTTACAGAAGATAATTTAGATCTTTTGTAAGAGGTTCCCTTAGGGCTGAGACACATAGTTCGAAGCCTTCCTCGTAAAGTCTTCATAATATTTATAATTCTTTTGCAAAATCACACCTTTACCTTATTGAAATTTGGGGAGCCGGAACTAACATTTTTGATTTTCCATCTTCAAATTGCTCAAAATAAAGTAATTAAATTGCTTTTTCATTACCCATACTTAATTCTACACAAAAAATATACAGTGAAACAATACTCATGAATATAAAACAATTATTTCAATACAATACCAGCTTATTAATCTACAAATTTTTTTTGACTATAATATACACACTAACATTACTTTCACTAAAATAAATCAAATTCAGGAGCGCAGTTCACGAAGCCCTCATCTAATTCTACCTAAGTATAGAACCAAGTTCTACTTCGCTAATTCATCCTTGAAGCTCTTGAGACTTGAATGACCCACGATGTGATAAATTGTATCTTTTGTATATAACTTCTCATGTAAGTGAGTAGTGACTATTGTCTGTTATGAGAATAAATGTCTTTAAACCTTTTATATACTGCTCAAAACAATTAGCGGAACAAGATTTTTCTCCTTTCTATTGCTTAAACTAAAATTAGATTTAAATTAACTTGTACGCTATTTTTTACCTTGTTAATTTGTTAATTACTACAATTAATAAAAAAAATCAATTTGTATTTTTTTTATTAAAAAAAAAATTAAAATGTGCATTGTAGACGAAAAACTAATTGGTGATAAAAAAGGTCCATCAAAGAAATATTCTTATATCGTTTGAATATTCGTCTTTAGTGACTTTCAGTAACGTGTGTGGCCTCCATGAGCCCTAATCACGGCTTGACAACGACGCGGCATGCTTCGTATCATCCTCCGAATATCTTCTTGTGGAATTCGCTCCTATTCTTCAATCAACGCTTCAGTGAGCTGCTGCAGTGTTTGAGGTGAAATCGGACGCTTCCGGATTATCGGTGCGCCTGTCAAGCAAGTCCCAAATGTGTTCAATTGTATTTAGGTCAGGGCTCATGGAAGGCCACTCTATTACACGGATTTCCTGCTGTCGTAAGTAATCTGACGTGATGGCTGCAGTATGCGGCCTGGCATTATCTTGCATTAAAAGAAAATCTGGGCCCATACCATATGCTGCGGGCCAAACATGATCTTCGAGCACATTTTCAATGTAAGTTTGAGCACACAAGCGCCCGGGAACAACGACGAGATCTGTGCGCTCGTCCAAACTAACTCCGCCCCAAACCATCACAGAGCCACATCCAAATTTGTCATATTCCTGGACTGCTGCTGCACTGTATCGCTCGCCTGGGCGTCTGTAAACACGGAGACGACCATCGCAACGTGTTAGACGGAATCGTGATTCGTCTGGTCGGAAATTTCTACACCAGTAGCCGTCCTTAGTGTATTTTGTAGATCTCTTGCAGTTGTGGTGCGGTTACGTAAAGCACAGTTGACGATGTAGCGATCTTGCAAACGTGTAGTTTTTCTCTTTCGACCTTGACCACGCCTTCGTGAGTATTCTCCCGTCTCACGGTATCGCTTCCAAAGTCTGTAGATAACAGAAGGGGCTACTCCTAGATCATTTCCTACATAACGCATAGTTCGACCCTCTTCAAGCAAAGCGATAGCTCGGGAGGCATGCAATTCAGTCAGATCTGGCATTATGACCTAAACTCACTCGCTTCAATGAATAACAATACTCAAAAGGCTCACTTCAATTTCTATTAATACTCAAAAGATTGAAAAAAACTACTTAAAATGTGTTTTCGGTGATTAGAAAGTAATGAAAATTCAAAGACGTCACTTTGTTTTTAGGAGAACAGAATTGGAGAAAAAGAAGAAAGGGATAAAAAAAAAAAAAAAAAAAAAAAAAAAAAAAAAAAAAAAAAAAAAAAAAAAAAAAAAAAAAAAAAAAAAAAAAAAAAAAAAAAAAAAAAAAAAAAAAAAAAAAAAAAAAAAAAAAAAAAAAAAAAAAAAAAAAAAAAAGAGGGAAAAAGAGAAAAAAAAAAAGAAAAAAAAAAATCAAAAAAAAAAAAAAAAAAAAAAGAAAAAAAAAAAAAGGGGGAAAAAGGGGGGGGGGAAAGGGGGAGAAAAAAAAAAAAAAAAAACCCCCCCCCCCCCAATTTATAAATAATTTATTTTAAAAAAAAAAAAAAAAAAAAAAAAAAAAAAAAAAAAAAAAAAAAAAAAAAAAAAAAAAAAAAAAAAAAAAAAAAAAAAATAGGGGGAGGGGGGGCCCCCCCCCCCCCCCCCAAAACCAAAAAACCCAAAAACACACGCAACCAACCACCCACCAAAAAAAAAACAAAAAAAAAAAAAAAGAAAAAAAAAAAAAAAAAAAAAAAAAAAAAGAAAAAAAAAAAAAAAAAAAAAAAAAAAAAAAAAAAAAAAATTTTTTTAAAAAAATTTTTTAAAAACCCAACCAAAAAAAAAAAACAAAACAACCAAAAACCCAAAAAACCAACAAAAAAGGGGGGAAAGAGGGGGGGGAAGGGAAGAAGGGAAAAAAAGAAAAGGGAAAAAAGGGGGGGGAAAAACGAGGAATTTGGGGGAAAAAAAAAAAAAGAAAAAAAAAAAAAAAAAAAAAAAAAAGGGGAAGAAGACCGGAGCCCGCCAACCCCCCCCAAGAAAGGCAACCACCAGAAAGAAAAAAGGGAAAGAAAAAAAAAAAAAAAAAAAAAAAAAAAACAAATAAGGGAATGTAGGAGGGGGGGGGGAGAAAAAAAAAAGAAAAGGAAAAAAAAAAAAAAAAAAAAAAAAAAAAAAAAAAAAAGAAAAAGGGGGGGGGGGGGGGGGGGGGGGGGGGGGGGGTGGGGGGGGGTGTTCGTTTTTTTGATTTTTTTTTTCCATTTGGGGGGCCGTGAGAAGGGGGAAAAGAAGGAGAGGAAAAAAGAGAAGGAGAAAAAAAAAAAAAAAAAAACCAAAAATAACGTAAAAAGAAGTTTTTTTTTTTTAGAAATTTGGTTTTTTGGGTTGGGGGTTTGGGGGTTTGGGGTGGGTTCCCGGGGGTGGGGGGGGGGGGGGTTTGTGGTTGTGTTTTTTTCCTCACTAAAACATTACGAAGGCGAAAAAAATTTTTTTTTTTTTTTTTTTTTCTTTTTACACCCACACCCACAACCACCCCCAAAAGCAAAAGAAAAAAAAAAAAAATAAAAAAAATTAAAAGGGGGGGGGGGGTAGGGATTTTTTCCTGTCGGGGGGGGGGGGGCCCAGCAATGTTTTTTTTTTTTTTTTTTTTTTTTCTTTCCCCGCCCCCCACCGGAAAGGAGGAAATTAAAAAAAAAAATTTTTTTTTTTTTTTTTTTTTTTCGTCCCCCCAAAGGTCTCCCCCCCCGGAAACCCCCCTTTAAGGCCACCATTAGGTGTGTCTGACACACTGCCGTCCAGTGTTGCCAACTTAATTTTAACGAACCCACCAATTTTGCCGTCGCAACCCACCAGAAAACCACTAAAATCCACACTAACTAATAAAATAAATGTAAGTGTGTTTGTTTATTTATCCTTTTTTCACGCCGAAAGGAAATATAGGATCGATGTGATTTTTATGTCCGCAGATAGGAGGGGGTTAGGCAAGCAGCCGGCGAGCACTATTTTTTTGTTTTTACCGCGGGAAACACATGTTTTACTGAAGTAAACAGTAGTCTATGGACTATGTCACTCTTTACTTTAGATGGATAGCATACAGCTAGGATATATTTTTTGACAATAAAAGAACAATATTGTAAATTGAATTATAAAATTCGTTTATTTTCATTACAAAAAAACTTATAGAAGACATACAAAATCGTTAAAAATCATCTTCAGCAGAGTCGGATTCCTCTGCACCTTATGATTTTAAGTACATTTCTTTCGTTCCTATTTTCTGGACTACATAATTTGGCAAGATGTAATTATTGCAACACTTTCCTTCGCGTTTTAAACCTGCGCGGATTGTCATAATAGATGACAGTAGATCTAGCTTCATTCGGTTTCTGTGTTTTGTCTTCACGATATTCATAATGCTGAATAATCGCTCTACGCATTAGAGTGCGGTAAAACTAATAAAGATATAGCAAACGTGGCTAAATCTTCAAATCGGTTTTCTCCTGCAATGTCTTCGAAATCCAGCACCTCGTACCAAAATTCCACCAGCTGTACTTTCCACCACTTCCAGCCAGTCCTTTAATTGGGAGTCCCGTAACCAACAATCCCGGAACTTTTGCGTATATTGCGGTTTTGGCATTTTGTTTTAAAAATAAACTAAACATTTGCAAACAAACAAGGTCGCTCCGATGCATAGCATAACCAAAACTACTAAGTATCTGTGTTGTGTATTTCTATTTTTGTGCATGCATACGAAACGAACACATACAAATCTCATTAATTCAAATCAAATTTGACCCATTAGTCATACGAATAAAGCCCATAATCAAAATAATTTAAGAAATTGATAAACTTGTTTCGGAAAATTCCCGAAAATAACGAACGTAATTTTACAGAGTTGCCTACATAATGACAAAATATTCCTTGATAAGGTAAACGTTTTCGTCTTTTCCTGTAAAGATATCACTCGTGCTAGTGGTTAAATGTCGTAGCATACCACTGAATGAAACAAACTAAACCACTAGAAAAATCCACTAGCCACTAAAACCAAAATTCGCCCGCTAAAACGTATATCTAAACCACCAGATCTAGTGGAATATCCACTAAGTTGGCAACACTGCTGCCGTCTGCCACTTTATTATAGGAGTTAGGACTACTAACCAAAACGCCGATGCTCTTTTGTTTTTTATTTTCTTCGACAATGCCTTAACATTATCTAGTGGCCAGTAATAATTAAAACCTTAAGTAAAAAGTTTAGTTCTACTTTAAAGTTTTGTTCGCGTAATTGTTTTGAGTAGTATATAACGTAGCTTTTCTACATTTAGTTTTTTTATAGTCTGTGGCGTCAAAAATTACTAGCTGTGAATAATTTAATGCTATGGTCAATATTGTCATCAATTTCGCGCGAATTTTTGTTTACTGACAGTTAAAAACAATTAAATACGCACGAGTCACTCACACACTTTTATTTTACATAAAATTAAATATTACTAAATTTTCCATTTATGAATGTGGTCTAGTAGTAAATGTAATTAAAAAGGATAAAACGTTTAACATAACAAAATTGTCGTATAAGTACCATCATATTTTTTATTGAATAGGAATTCTTAATAAAAATCATGACTGTGGGACAGACGGCAATAAATTTACCATGGTTCGTATTAAGTTATTCCAAAGTAACTAACTAAATTTATAACATGTGCCATTTTTGTTATATAGAAATTATAATGATACTAACTATTTACAGGGTAGAAAAGTATCGACCATCAAAACTAGACGATTTGGTTTCGCACGATGATATTGTAAAAACTAGTAAGCATTTTTATTTTTTAAATACTTTGTTGGAACTAAATACCAAATTAAATTTAAACATGTAAATTTTTAGTTAACCAGTTTATGAAGGAAAATCAACTACCTCATTTATTGTTCTATGGCCCTCCAGGCACAGGAAAGACATCTACAATACTAGCTTGTGCTAAACAGATGTACACACCCCAACAATTCAATTCAATGGTAAGATACTTTTTAACTTAAATATTCTTGTGTTTATTCTATAAAACTGTTACTTGGCATTAAGTTTTGCTATAAAAATATTGAATTTAGTAATATTCATTTAGTAAATATTCAAAGAATATTTGAATATATGAAGTCTTTGAGAAACAGAATTTCTTGTTAAATACTTTCTTAATTGACTATAAAATTACTGAAGCTAATAATAGCTACTAGTTTGTTTTATAATAATAAAACTTTAAATAACAACATTGATTTCATTTGAGTGAATTAGCTTAATGTAAATTTTTATAGGTTTTAGAATTAAATGCTTCTGATGATCGAGGTATTGGTATAGTTAGAGGGCAAATATTAAGCTTTGCTTCAACAAGAACAATCTTTAAAGCAGGACCCAAACTTATAATTCTTGACGAAGCTGATGCCATGACCAATGATGCTCAAAATGCTTTGAGAAGAAGTAAGTTGATGATAATGTTATATGAATATTAGTAACTTTTTGTACCATAGTGATTAAATGTGATCCATTTTTAAAACATTGTTATATAAATTGTTATATCTTAAAAGTGAAACAAAAGGAATTAAATTTTTTGATTAGTAATCCCATTACATTACATTGAAAAATGAGAGATAATTTATTGTATATACTTTCACGTTGGTTATTTGGATATGGAACTAAAAATGTATTAAGATGTATTATGTAACTAAGATATATAAACTCAGCATGAAGGGTTTTATGGTTACTATGGAGATTAGTAGGTACAACAAATGTTAAAATAGAATATTAAAAACTAGACATGTGATACAAGAAATGAAATTAGGGTTAATAATACTCTGTAATGTCTGATAATGAAGATGACATGCAAGGTAAAACTATAAAAATTACTCTTGTTGGTGATCCTGGGACTGGTAAAGTAAGTAAAAAATAAAAATATTTTTATTTGCATATAGCTGAACTAGCTTTTTATTTGTGACCGCTTTTAGTGTTTACTATCCTCGAAAATAAGGTTTATTGTTAGGATTCAATATTATTGTTATGTTGTGTTTAAAGTTAAATATAATCAACAGACAAGCCTATGCAATAGATATCTTGGTGGTACTGGTACTACTAGCAGCACTCATGGAGCAGAGGTGACGGCAGGGCAGTGCCTAGGCCTTCGCCCTCCTATCCCATTACAACTATGTGACGTTGCGGGGAATGCTTTAAATACACCTATGCTTACTAATTACCTTTATGCTTCAGATGTGAGTAATTTTTGGTCTTATGTACATTTAATTGTATTTTACTTTAATATGCTTTTAAAAGTGTTTTGAGTAATATCTATTCTGTTAGTGTAAAGACAGCCTAAGTTTTTACATTAATGTATACAAATAGCTTTTATTTTTTACAGATAATAATATTTGTTTATGATTTAACCAATTTACAAAGTTTTGAGAACTTGGACACATGGATTACATCTGTTAATGAGATTAACAAAGATGAAGTTAAGAAACCATTGATGGCTCTTTTCGGTAACAAATCAGATTTAGAGCACCAGAGGGCAGTGAGATTGTCCAGTGTACAGAAGTTTTCTTCCCAACATTTGCTTGACCATTTCAAGGGTTCCTCTAGGACTGGAGAAATGGTATTTATTAATTTGATCGTTTTTTGCAAGCTTTGAGAAAATTAAACATTGTTGAGCATACACATACACATACACATTACTCTATTCTACAATTTATATTTTATTTAATACTATCTAAACATGGCTATAACTTTTAGTTGTACACACATATATTATTAATAAAAAATGAAATACGGCTAGAGGGGGGGATACTTTAAAAAAAAAAAACTCTTTTTAATTAAATCTTATATTAAGTAACTTAATTAGGAATTGATAGGCAACGTAACCTTATCGCCTTATTATATAGTAGAGGTTTAGTTTAGAAATAAATAAATAGTAGTAAAACTTATAACTTTTATCTACCACGAAAGCAAATATAAAAATTATTCTATTTTAGGTAAACGATGCCTTTACGACTGTAGTGGCTCGTGTCCAAGGCACAAAAGCCAGGTTGATATTGGCGCCAGATAGAAAATCCCCGTTTATATACGAAAGTCCAAAGTCCAACGATCAAGCTGGCTTCCCTCTCATAATGAACAGAAAAGCATTGCGGAAACATCAAAGGAAGGAGTCTTCTGTCTGCGTATTGCAATAATAAAAACTAATACATATAGATTTGTTTTTTTTTTCAACCAACTAAAAAGTGTATACACTTCAGTGATTGAATTTTTATTTTTATTATGTTTTGCTACTTAAGAAATGTAACATGACTTTTCGGGTTTCAAATGTTCATGTTCATTACAATATCATGCATAGTCCTATGAAACGATTTAAGTACCGTGGTAACACACGGTTGGGAAGTTCTTGCCATACAAAGTGAAAGTTAATGCTAAGAGATTGATAGGAATGTGCTTCTAAGTTTTAAGTGACAGTCAAGAACGATGTAATTGATGCACACCAGGGTTATGAATAACATCTTAGAAAATATTACAGTACTGTAATAATAATTATATAAAACTGTTTTATATATGAAATGTATAGTCGCCATATACAGTTATGATATTTTTATGTATGTTTACAGTTATCGAGAAGTACACGGAAAATGTGAGATTTTGCATAATTTGCAATTACTTAGGTAAAATAATACCAGCGCTACAGTCGCGATGCACACGTTTTCGTTTCGCACCACTTCAGCAGAGTCAGATAGTCCCTCGATTACAGGAAATTGTTGAAAAAGAGGGGTGAGTTTTATTAAATATATATGTTACTCGTAAAAGTTCGAACTATGGTTAATCTTAAGATTTAAGTGTAAGTCTTAGGATTTACCTACATGAGTTGGTAAATGTAAGTATTTCTGAAAATACGACGATTTTTTCGAGCTTTTACCATTCGAATTCAGTATACTAGGTTTACCACTGTCAGCTGAAGATTTGGTTTTAGGAATAAAACAATGAGTAATTCTTAATTATTTACTTTAATGTACTATAGACAAAACAGGTACATAGTATTATAAAGGTATCATATTGTTACGAAGACGGGTCGACTGCAATGTTTTTAGATTTTTCCACTACTTAGAGAACTTTTCAGCAGGCTGAAATGTGATTTCTGACCGTTTCAGGGAGGGTCAATCACATATTAGAAAATCGCAGTTTACATAATGTCCCTAGTTTTCAGGAGCCTTTGAAACACTTTTTCAGGTCGTTTCAGAACACGTGTAGTCGAATGGTACACTTTTCAGGAAACCCGTTTTCAGGCGTTTTCAGGCCTGGTTATACCCCTTTGACGAAGGAATGTTCTAGAACGAATTTTCTAGGTGTGGGACAAGGACGGAACGATACGCGAGAGAGAGGGAAGATCGGAACCTTCTCGAAGCTAGACCGAGGCACTCTAGAACGCCGTACGACAAGGACGGAGCAATGTCCGAAAGAGATAGCTAGTACGCACGTTCTAGAATTGTGCGATCGCTACTCAGTTGCGCCGCCGCCTAGAGAGTTCTCGAACATCGCTCCCAGGGATATATAAGCGAGCCGAAACGCGACCGATTAGTTCAGTTTTGAATGCGATACCAAGCGATAAACACCGGAGTGACAAAGTGCGAATATAGTGAAGAAAAGTGAATACAAGTACTGTGTGAAGTGCGTGATATTAGAGTAATTAGTGACAGTATTTTGTGTGTGTATTTAGTGAATTTTTGTGCGTAATTTCAAGTTTATAGTGTTAACAAATTCCTCGTAGATTTAATTGAAAATAAACCCTTGAAGAGATTTACGGCGTTTCTATCCGATCCCCTAGCTCGTAACATTTTGGTGTCAGAAGTGGGATAGAAAAATGCCAATTACTCCGAGGGAGAATCAAGAGGAGTTTGTGGCCGAGTCTCCAGCTGCGGAGGGAGTGCAGACAAGGGCACAATCAGCACGCGACGCCGCCCGGCGACAAAGTTTCGATGCGAACCGCGGGATGGGCGAAAGCAACGATAGCAACATCCTCCTTGCCCTGCGCCAAATGATGGAAGAACAGGCTCAGACACGTCGTATGATGGATGAACAGGCACGTCGTCAAGAGGAACAGGCACGACAAATGATGGAAGAACAGGCACGACGTCAAGAGGAACAGGCACGACGTCAAGAGGAACAGGCACGACGTCAAGAGGAACAGGCACGACGTAAGAGGAACAGGCCCGTCATCAGGAGGAACAGGTTCGGCGATTGATGGAGGAACAGGCTCGCCGTCAAGAGGAACAGGCACGCCAAATCGTGGAAGAGCAGGCTCAGACACGTCGTTTGATGGAGGAACAGGCTTGCCGTATCGGAGAAAGATTAGGAGATCTAAAACAAGAAGTAGATAAAAAAATCGAGAACTTGGAATCTGATATGGACTGCAAATTTTCGAAACAGGACAAACGTATTCTCGGATTAGAACAAGAGATGCAGTGCCTGAAGACCAAAGGTGTCATAACGACTGTAGCACCATCTGGAAATCTGAAAGTACCTCCCTTTGACGGTACATCTTCCTGGGGCGCCTACAAAAATACAGTTTGAGACTGTGGCAGAGTCAAACGGGTGGAATGACGATCAGGCTGTCACCGCCCTTATTATGGGACTGCGAGATGAAGCCCTCACCATATTAGATACCAAGACAGGTAAAGTGACGTTGAAGCAACTGCTGGATGCCCTAGAATCACGGTACGGAGACGCACATTTAGAGCACGTCTATAGGGCTCAATTAAAGGATAGAATACAGCAGACAAATGAAAGTTTGCAAAAATGGGGATGTGAAATAGAGAAGCTGGTTAGGAAAGCCTATGCATCCTCACCAGACGTTGCAGACAAGATGTTGGTTCAAGCCTTCGTCGACGGTATTCGAGACCGTGAAATTCGAATGGCTGTGAACCTAGGTCACCATAAGGACCTCAAGAATGCTCTTGCTCATGCGTTGGAAGTGGAAGCATTTTGCAAGGATTCTCGACCTAACCGCATTAGGGCTGTCTCGGAAAAACGTAGTTCCCAACGTGGACCCACCTGTTACCTCTGCGGGGAAGTAGGGCATATGAGGTTTTCATGCCCTAAGAGAGATCTCCGAGGTGAAATGAAGACAAGACGTGGGGAGCCCGATGACGTGGATGTGACTGCCGCTGAACAGCGGCAGGGAAACGAATAGAAGCCAGGACCACGGGGCGGGTGCTGGCCGGTTCTGTAAGGAAGGCCCCAAAAGTTATGATCTCTCAAACTCAGGATGGGAATACCATTGTCATCGACGGAGAAGTTAACGGCACTAGGTGTGAGTTAACCCTTGATACTGGAGCTTCCCGGACAGTAATCAGATACCAACTTCTGAAGTCATTTTACAAGAGCCTTTCTGGTGGAAATGTACAGCTCCTTACAGCCACTGGTCAGCACATAACCGTTCGAGGAGAAGGTATCGCTACCTTCAAGATTGGTGGAAGAACATACAGACATGAGGTGGTTATTGCTGACATCGTGGATGACTGTATTATCGGTTTAGACTTCATGAAGCATTACAACTGTAAGATTGACCTGAAGAACGGCACATTCAAGTGTAGAGATGAAGTAGTTTCCCTAAAAGATAACACATTGAAGAACGGGTACGACGTGTATAGAGCTATCATTGAAGATGGTACAGTTAGTAAACAACGAGATATAGTTCAAGCAATACTTGAGGACTGTAAGGAAACCTTGACGAGAGAAGAAATGTCGAAAGCAAAGGGACTATTAAAAACATTTTCTGACATGTTTGCTACACACGATGGAGATCTAGGAAGGACAGGTGTAGTTAAACATCGAATTGAGACTGGAACCGAAGCACCTATACGTTTAAGACCGCGACGAGTACCTGTCGCATATGAAAAGAATATAGACAAGATGATTGCAGAAATGTCAAACCATAATGTTATTGAAGCATCTTCCAGCCCTTGGTGCTCTCCAGTAGTTTTAGTCAAGAAAAAGGATAACAGTTTAAGGTTCTGCGTCGACTACCGTCGTCTTAACGATATCACGAAGAAGGACAGTTATCCGTTACCTAGAATAGATGACACCTTGGATACCTTAAGTGGGGCAAAATGGTTTACAACTTTAGACTTGAAAAGTGGGTACTGGCAAGTGGAAATAGACTCAAGTCATAAAGAGAAAACAGCGTTCTCAACTGGTAAAGGACTATGGCAGTTTAAAGTTATGCCGTTTGGGCTTTGCAATGCACCTGCCACCTTTGAAAGACTAATGGAAAAAGTACTGTCAGGACTGATAGGAGAAGCCTGCTTAGTGTACTTGGATGATGTAGTCATCATTGGGAAGGATTTTGATGATCACATACGAAATCTGCAACGGGTGCTCTCAGACTGCATAAAGCCAACCTGAAACTAAGTGCAAAGAAATGTTTATTTTTCAAGAGAGCAGTGAGCTACTTGGGGCACATTATATCAGAGGATGGAGTTCGAACAGACCCTGAGAAGATAGTTGCGGTGAAGGATTGGCCAGTACCTAAAGATAAAACTGAAGTCCGCGCTTTCTTAGGCTTATGTTCTTACTACCGAAGATTTGTGAGAAATTTCGCGGATATTGCAAAACCACTTCACAGACTCACCGAACAGAAGAGGAAATTCACATGGGATGGAGAGTGTGAAGATGCGTTTAATGAGCTCAAGAACCGACTGTGTGAGACTCCAATACTAGGCTACCCGGATCAAGATGGTGAATATGTGGTAGATACAGATGCCAGTGGAATTGGCATTGGAGGTGTACTATCACAAGTAAAAGGTGAGCATGAGCAAGTAATAGCCTACTTCAGCAAGTCATTGTCGAAACCAGAACGGAACTACTGTGTCACTCGGAGGGAACTACTGGCTGTTGTGAAGACGCTGCAGCACTTCAGTAAATACTTGCTAGGTCGCAAGTTCCGTCTTAGGACAGATCATGCTGCATTAAAATGGCTACTTCAGTTCAAGAATCCGGAAGGACAAGTGGCTCGATGGATCGAACAACTGCAAGAGTATGACTTTGCTACTGAACATCGCAAGGGGCAGAGCCCACGGGAACGCAGATGCATTGTCTCGAAGGCCATGTGAGGAGGATTGCAAACATTGTACAAGACACGAAGGTAGAGAGGTAGCCCATGTAAGGATACTAAGGACAGACACCATTAGTCCAGATTGGTGTGGGAAATTAATTCAGGAAGAGCAACAACAAGATTCTGACATTAAACCAATTCTGGACTGGATGAAATCTTCAGCTATCAAGCCGCGGTGGAATGATGTTGCATCTACTAGCACCACGACCAAGAGTTACTGGGCTCAATGGGATAGCTTAGTTCTTCATAATGGAGTGTTATGTCGCAAATGGGAAAACACTCGAGGGGATGCTTCTCATCTACAGTTAGTTGTGCCAAGATCCAAGGTTCGCAACATCTTGGAGATGTTTCATGATGGCTCATCGGGCGGACACTTAGGAGTAAAAAGGACTCTTCTGAAAATTAAAGAGAGATTTTATTGGATACATTGCCGTGAAGATGTGGAAGACTGGATTCGGAAATGTAAGGCTTGTGCAGCAGTCAAAGGCCCACAGACGAGAACTAGAGCTGGTATGAAGCAATACAATGTCGGAGCTCCATGGGAGAGGATAGCCGTTGACATAGCTGGACCATTTCCGTTAACAGAAAAAGGAAATAAGTACATCATGGTTGTTATGGATTACTTTACGAAGTGGCCCGAAGTGTTCGCTATTCCCAATCAAGAGGCAGTTACAGTAGCTGAGATACTTGTAAATGACGTATTCTCTAGATTCGGAGTACCCTTGGAGATTCACAGTGATCAGGGGAGAAATTTTGAGTCTTTATTGTTTCAAGAAGTATGCCGACTAATGGGAATTCATAAGACGCGGACTACTCCATATCACCCACAGTCAGATGGAATGGTGGAACGCTTTAATCAAACCTTGGAAAGGCACTTGGCAAAACTGGTGGACAGCCATCAAAAAGACTGGGACAAGTATATTCCATTATTTTTAATGTCATACCGGTCTGCGGTTCATGAAACCACGAATGTTACACCTGCTTTAGCCATGTTTGGGAGACAACTTAGATTACCAGCAGACATTGTAACGGGACGACCACCTGACACCCCGGAGAGTGTTACAGAATATGCTGCGGATTTGCGTAATAAACTGCATGAAATCCATGAACACGTACGAGCATCACAAAGCAAAATAAGTGAGACTACGAAGATTAGGTATGACAGAAAGACGAATCACATAGAATTTAAAGAAGGCTCGCAAGTATGGCTCCATAATCCAACAAAACGCAAAGGCAAATCACCAAAGCTTCAAGCTGACTGGGATGGTCCATACACGATAATCACGAAGATTAATGACGTTACTTACCGGATAAAGAAAATGAGTGGTTTAAGAAGCAAACCGAAAGTCGTTCACATAAATCGATTGGCTCCCTATAAAGGAAGTAATGATGCTCGGGACGAGCATGTCTAAGGAGGGGTAGTGTTACGAAGACGGGTCGACTGCAATGTTTTTAGATTTTTCCACTACTTAGAGAACTTTTCAGCAGGCTGAAATGTGATTTCTGACCGTTTCAGGGGAGGGTCAATCACATATTAGAAAATCGCAATTTACATAATGTTACCCTAGTTTTCAGGAGCCTGAAACACTTTTTCAGGCCGTTTCAGAACACGTGTAGTCGAATGGTACACTTTTCAGGAAACCCGTTTTCAGGCGTTTTCAGGCCTGGTTATACCCCTTTGACGAAGGAATGTTCTAGAACGAATTTTCTAGGTGTGGGACAAGGACGGAACGATACGCGAGAGAGAGGGAAGATCGGAACCTTCTCGAAGCTAGACCGAGCACTCTAGAACGCCGTACGACAAGGACGGAGCAATGTCCGAAAGAGATAGCTAGTACGCACGTTCTAGAATTGTGCGATCGCTACTCAGTTGCGCCGCCGCCTAGAGAGTTCTCGAACATCGCTCCCAGGGATATATAAGCGAGCCGAAACGCGACCGATTAGTTCAGTTTTGAATGCGATACCAAGCGATAAACACCGGAGTGACAAAGTGCGAATATAGTGAAGAAAAGTGAATACAAGTACTGTGTGAAGTGCGTGATATTAGAGTAATTAGTGACAGTATTTTGTGTGTGTATTTAGTGAATTTTTGTGCGTAATTTCAAGTTTATAGTGTTAACAAATTCCTCGTAGATTTAATTGAAAATAAACCCTTGAAGAGATTTACGGCGTTTCTATCCGATCCCCTAGCTCGTAACAATATGATAGTAATAAGTACAAACTAATACCAACTTATTTAAATTATTTTGAAAAAACACATAACGTATCTCTGAAATCTCAATCTCTACAATCTATCTAACTGATCAGAAGTTCTCTATTTGGAATTAAACAACGAAATACAAACAAGCTTACATAAGCTAGTCTAACTTAATAATTATTTTTTTTTTCAAATTTCGTGCCATTAATGTAAATCCTAAGATTACCAGGAAGGTCGGGTCGAATCGCAAACCTTTTGGGACATTTACCATTAGGAATTGGAGATTAGGTTTTACTGGAATATTTAGTTATAAGTTCGAGCTTTTACAGTAACATATACATTATTCGTAAATGTATACTATTTATGTACAATGTTATAGTAATATACTATTAGTACAATCTTAAAATTTTGTGTGCGTGGTGTGACTGAACTCCTCCTCCCGTTTTGATGAAATTTTTTTTGTTCAAGGGATTGGGAATGGTTTAGATTCACAAATCAGCCCGGAGGTGCAGTCGGTATTTCATACTTTGCTTAATTCCTACGCTTTAATAGAGGAAGTTGTGGGTCCACTGTGTTATAGTAATTCCAATAAATGTCAACTAAATTCAAATTTAATTATTTTTCCCTTACGCAGTTTGGTATTTTACGCGAATGTTTAGCAGTTAGTCTTAGGGTCCTCCAAGAAAAGAGTGTACCAATTCTTTAAAGGCCGGCAACGCACTCGCGAGCCCTCTGGCATTGAGAGTGTCCATGGGCGGCGGTATGACTTAACATTGGATGAAGCTCCAGCCCGTTGGCTCCCTGCAGTTTTTAAAATAGTTTAAAGTACAATATGATACTAAAGTGAATCATTTTACAATATATTTGTTTTACAATTTCTGCTATATAAAATCTGCGAAAGATGAGTTTTTTCAGCGTATCTATAAGAATATATATCCTTTAAGAAGTCTATTTTGTTGTCAAATATTAAGTATGTACCAGCCCACCCAGGCTGTACATTTGGCTTTTTTTATTAACGTGGCGATTACAGAAATCGTCGAAGTTACGCCCAGAGAGTATAGCCAGACTCATGCACACTCTTCAGCATTTTATAAGCATAGCACTCATTTAGCATTAAATTATTTTAAATCCTCTGTTTAACGCGGATTGTTAATAAATAGTCTGTATTATATTGTATTGTATACATTGTCATTATTAATTTTATGTTGTCATAATTTTAGGGTAAAAATTTCAGAAGACGGCATTAAGGCGTTATTGACACTCTCAGGTGGGGATATGCGAAAAGTACTAAACACATTACAAAGCACTTGGCTAGCGTATCGTGACGTCACGGAGGATAATGTGTACACTTGTGTTGGTCATCCTCTCCGTTCGGACATAAATAGCATACTCAATTGGCTACTTAATGAGAATGATTTCGCTACCTCATTTCAACGTATCCTTTGAATTAACCATTGGTTTAACCAACTATCTAGGATCGTTTGATAGTCTATAGATTTTTTGATTAATATATTCACAAAGTGTGGTCTTGAAGGAACAAAGACATAGATTTTGGTTACGTTTAAAGTTTGCATGGCACGAATTGTTTACAGAGATGTTTTTTTTTATTTTTCCTTTCTTTCCTATGTATGTATGTAAAATTACAGTATCCAAAATTACCAAATTACAATACTCCTAGCTAAAGTCTTTAACTGTGAATAGCATTTTTGTAACGACAGGATGTGCACATACTTGGTTGTAAAATATAAAATACTTTTCTATTTCATTTCTACTATTTTTTTAATATTTTAAGAATCGTTCGTAGCGAGTTTCTAAAAAATTCAATTTTCGAAATTAGTTACGAAATTGGTCCTAGTATATAGTAGTATTTATATAATCTTATTCGGTAATATTCTGATTATGAAATGAAATACAGACTTTTATTGGCAAATTTTATTTACATACTTCTTTAAGAAAGCTTTTGGCGCTATTTCGTACATACGAATTTGAGTAATATTTTGTTGGATAAAACTTTAGTAGCAAAAATGTCAAGCAACACCGATGATACTGATGGAAATTTAACTCCACCTGACTTTCTAGAAACATCTACGAAACTGACGAATAGTGTTTTGCCAGAAAAATCAAACTCGCCTGCGGCTCGTTTCAGAAAACTACACTCATGTTTTAATACCCTCTATTATATGACAGTTGCATAAACTACTATTAAAACAGCATATTTAATGCTTTGTATTTTTAATAAGTGGAGTTAAGACTACCAGTTCTTTATTTTATAATTTTGTTTTCTTATAAATAAAACAGATATCCAGGATTTGAAAATAGCGAAAGGTTTAGCTCTAGGCGATATATTGACGGAGATACACACCATAATTACAAGATGTAAGTTGATTAATTCCAAGTTTAAATAATATCTACTGCGACTTCATGCACATTTATTAAAAAAATTTAAATTCCATTCAACATGTAATACAAAATTCTTTGAGCTTGTTATTAAGGTTTCGAATGACTAGAGTATGTATAAAATATCGTAACATTTATATGATGACGAAAATTTTGCGGGAAACAGCGTTATGTTATAATTATTTATTTGTGTCAATATATCTCTTTCGATGTTAACGTTAAAAACTATAGTAATGCAATATTATTTTAAAAATATTTGAATATAAGTTTTAGTATATTTTTTTTGTATTATAACTTTAGTACAGGTTCAATCGAATAGAATAAAAAAAAATACAATAGTTGAGTAAAAATATGTAAAAAATTGCCTCTATTATGTCCCTAGTAATTACACTGATTTTTAATGAGCCCGTAGTCACGGTTATTGAGGTGGTGGAGCTGCTCCAATATGCATACATACCTTAGATAAATAAATTCCTCCGGGAATATAACCCACTATGTCTATAAACGTATCAAAATGCTTAACCGACACAGCTGTATAATATTTTCAATGCGATATATAAATACGTATTATTCTCTTTTTTAGTAAAACTACCCCCAGAGGTGTTCATATCTTTGTTAATAAAGATGGCGGACTCCGAAGCGCGTCTTGCAAGCGGGTGTAGTGAGCGAATAGAACTGGCAGCTCTTATCGCTGCTTTTCAGCAGGCCAGAGAACAAGTCAATATAGACGACTTACTCTAAATAGGGCCACAAACTGACCCAAGGTTGAGAAGTGAAGCATCGGGAATCACTGTATTAATGTTAAGGGTGTCGCTGTATTAATATTAAGATTTGTATTAAAACTAGTTTTTTGATAATATTGTGTAATTATTACCTACTTCAGACTACCTTAGAATGCCAACGAAATAAGTTTCGAACATACGAACAGAAGTGTAAAAATTACGTGAAACGCTTTGGGCGTTGGGCTTACAGTTTAATTTTTAATATCTTATGCGAGTTCTTTCTTAGTTCTTCTCTTCAGGCTGCCATAATTTGACATGCTTGCTTACGACACGCTGTCACGTTTTTATTCTAGTATGCATAATCCGCAATTAAAATATATTTGCATGCATCCGTTTCTTTGATAATTAAGTATGTTTAATAGCCTTCTGTGCCTGTAGATTTGTTGAGTTAAAACTCATGCCGGTTTCCTTACAATGTTTGCCTTCGTAGAAGAAAGTGTTTATTGAGCACATAGAAAAACTCCATATTGCACACCCTTGATTCGAAGACACGACCTCAGTATTCAGACGCTTAAGCTTAAGCTAGGCCAACACTGCTTCATTAACATTCATATTCATTTAGGAAACACAATTTACACTTTAAACGACTCGACAAGCAAGGACCAGTTTGTACGAAAACGTTAATGTACAATGTACATGGAAGACTTCTAATAACTAATTTTTGTTTTGTTTTCCGTTTTTTATTCTCACCTACGTGGTGTTATTCTGCTCTGTTTTGTCTACTTTTCTTTTTAGTTTCATATAATAAACGGTATTGTCATAATGAAATTAATAAAAATTAGGGTACACTTTCTTTTCCAGTCTACCACCCCATTTGACGTAATTAAAGTAACTCTTTTATACTTCGTCATAGAAATTCATACAGCAACAGCTTGCTGCATTAGCCCGCTTCATAACTCGAAGTTTGTCATTTATTTAAAAAAAAATTTGTTCTGTGCCATTTTCGGTCCATATGATATGGTTTTTCTCGTGTAGGATTCCTAGAAGTGAATTATTTTTTTAAGTGTTACGTTTTTTTCACAGGCTGTTCTTACACACCTTAATTAAAGTACAAAATATATAATATTTGTTAAAGTAAACAAATTAAAAATACTTCACCTTACCGAAAAACACCTAAATCATTTCAACCCAAACAGCATTTTAATATTTTTTTCACCTTTAAACAAATCTCAAAATTAAAAACAACCTCGGAACCTGTTGACAGTCACGATGGTGGATCAGCTATGTAGTTATTATTTTTAAATTAATAGTACTTTGAATTGGAATGGATATACATAATTAAAAAATAATGGATGTCAGAGACAATTTTTACATTTACGTTAGCAACTGGCCATTTGAAAAAAAAATGTATTTGTTGATTGAAACGTCAACAATACAATTTTATAGGTAAGAATTTTGTTAAACATAGGAGGACAGAGCTCTCAAGCTTAGTTGAAGGCCCTTCAACTAGTTATTTAACGGTAAGGGATTATTCATTACAATTTAATTGGTATAATAAAAAGTTCAATAACTTTATGAATAATTTATTCATTTGATCTATGATTTGCTAACATACTGTTACGAAGACGGGTCGACTACAATGTTTCTAGATTTTTCCACTATTTAGAGAACTTTTCAGCAGGCTGAAATGTGATTTCTGACCGTTTCAGGGAAGGGTCAATCACATATTAGAAAATCGCAATTTACATAATGTTACCCTAGTTTTCAGGAGCCTGAAACATTTTTTCAGGCCGTTTCAGAACACGGGTAGTCGAATGGTACACTTTTCAGGAAACCCGTTTTCAGGCGTTTTCAGGCCTGGTTATACCCCTTTGACGAAGGAATGTTCTAGAACGAATTTTCTAGGTGTGGGACAAGGATGGAACGATACGCGAGAGAGAGGGAAGATCGGAACCTTCTCGAAGCTAGACCGAGCACTCTAGAACGACAAGGACGGAGCAATGTGCGAAAGAGATAGCTAGTACGCACGTTCTAGAATTGTGCGATCGCTACTCAGTTGCACTGCCGCCTAGAGAGTTCTCGAACATCGCTCCCAGGGATATATAAGCGAGCCGAAACGCGACCGATTAGTTAAAAAAAAAAAAAAACAGTTTTGAATGCGATATCAAGCGATAAACACCGGAGTGACAAAGTGCGAATATAGTGAAGAAAAGTGAATACAAGTACTGTGTGAAGTGCGTGATATTAGTCTGTAGTGACAGTATTTTGTGTGTGTATTTAGTGAATTTTTGTGCGTAATTTCAAGTTTATAGTGTTAACAAATTCCTCGTAGATTTAATTGAAAATATACCCTTGAAGAGATTTACGGCGTTTCTATCCGATCCCCTAGCTCGTAACAATACTTTATGGTCCCTTAATAAATAGGCATGAACCTATCCTTACTCTAGCTCTACTTAGAAAATATAGAGACGAACTATAGGGCTATGTAAGTTGAAGTAAACTTATCGAATTATTATTTTATAGAAGTAAAGCGTCAATACTATTCGACAAATAACCAACAAATCTATGCGTTTAACTTTTCTTTACTATTATGGTACATGCCGTAGATTATCTATCTACGGTAGATACCTTATACTATCTAGCCATAATAAATAATAACCTAGGAACCTTAAGCAGTTGATTCAACTTTATATACAACGATTATTATTATCAAAACTGTTTTAAAATTTTCTTATTTATTTGTAAAATGTTTAATCGTTTTAAAATAAATTTTCTCATAGGACTAATTATGTCTAAACATCATCTTACAAGCAAACATCGAGATCAAAGGTATTTTTTGTTATTTTTGTGGATAATGTGTATACACAGATTTTTATAATTATTTTTTTTAAATTTAAACATGCGCTAAAAGTGACAAAAGGATTTGAGTTTACTTTAAATACGTATTATACATTATGCAAATAGTTGAGAGTACCAAATATTGTTTATTCTGTGTTTGTAACAAAAAATAAACAATAAAATACATTAAATTCATGAAATACCAAACGTCTTATTTAAATTAACATGTAAATTATTTTAAGTCTATTCTAGTCGGTAGGTAATACAAGAATGCTTTTCTATTATTTACTATCCAAATATGCTTGAGACAAAGTTATTAATTGAAGAAGTAAAAGTAGAGAAGAGTCCAGGGGACTGGGTAGGAGCAGGTGGCGGTCTTGGTGGTCCAGCAGGTCGGTAATATGGACCTCCATCGATTCGCTAAGGAAAGTATGAATATTAAAAAAAATCTTTATATAGGTGTAAGTAAGTATTCTATATTCAAAACACCAATTATAATATCTATCAGCCGCTCTTTGTTGTAGCCCATTGGCTGCGCCATTTTCTTCTCTGACTTCATAAACCTGAAGAGTTTACAAATAGCACTAGTCTCAATTACAACTGAAATTTTAAATATAGAATTTGTAATTCAGATTAAAATTACTTGAACTAATTGCGAATCCGGGCGTTAATATGAATCAAATAGAATTTATGATGATGTGATGGATTTTTTACGCCTTACCTTTTATAGATGCTAAGTGAATAATATAATCCAAGATGATTAATAAAGTAAGCTTTGGACATTCCAACTTCAGCGTATGGGATACCATATGTTAGTAGTGCAAATCTAAAACCATGCAAACTATAGCGCAAGCCCCAAGTGGCTTTTTGTACCAAAATCACATAGAATGAATAAACATTTCATCAAGGAAATATGACAAGAGCAACGATAGTGTAACAAGATTCTAAAACAAAATACAAAATGAAAGTAAGACGTTTGTCTTTATATAAGATATAAATTATAATGTTTTATTATTTAACTTTATACAAAAGCATTTAATTTCCATTTATTAATTTTTAAAATCGTGTTACACGTTTTTTAATGTAATCATAAAGCGTGTTTTTACCACAAACAGATAAGCCAAAAAACTATATATACAAATAACATACGTCTAAAACTAATCGAAGGCTTTATTGTTGTGGAAGTTGGATCGTCCCATCTACCTTCGAAGTTGTCGTTTTAGTATTGTTTGGTCTCCTTGTAATCTGTTTAGCCATTGCACCAGAAGGCGGGTAATCCTAGAGTGCATTATATACAAACATAATAATCTTAATGCTATTATATAATTAAACGTATAATTATTTTAATCGGCAGCCATATTTACGCATCTATTACACAGTAAATTAGTCCTTATAGAAGTTAGTTGATTAGCTTTCAGCACCTTCAATGATAAAAAAAAATCTTCAATTTTTAGTCTTTAATGTGCCGGTTTCGGCATGTTACTCCTCCACCGTATTATAGTGGGTAAATTACGCACATATATGATTCCATTGGTGCATAGCGGTTCGAACACATGATTCAAGTTCGTAGGCTAACATGTTTCTCTATTTGAAAGTATTATCATTAATTATATTTACTTTCCTACTTAAGTTTCTCATTAAAGTCATACATTGATATAATACAACCGCCACCATTAAGAGCACAACGAGTTATAGGGTATCTAATCTAAAAGTCGTATATCTACCTATATAAAATTTAGATGTTTATCAAAATAATGGATTGGTACGTACTTTCGCCGAATGAAGGGTAACATTTAAAAGTGTTGGGTGAGTTTCAATCACAAAGAACTCTACTTCTTGTGGTAAATATCCTTCCGCAGAGACCTGTAAAGAGTACATAAATTCAATACTACATTTGATATTTATACTTTAGAGAGTTTACTAATTTTTCGTACAAGAAATAAAAGCACTTGAACGAGTGCCGCAATTAAATAGAGATACTAGATTAGCTTGTTCAAAACAGTAATTAATATCTGTTAGGGCTCAAATTATGCAAAAAAGTGTGGTCCGTATTATTTAATTTTTCGTCAAGTCGTGGCCTGTTTATAATCGTATCGTGGATGGATCGTCAACCTCATGAATTGGTCAGCTGAATCTGGGAATATAGTTGAATTATAAACGTTGAATAATATTTCATACAACGTTTGGCCATACTCTGGCAGTGGCCAATTGTGTAGGCGTATCTTTAAAAAAACAATTACCTCCAATTTGTATGTTCCTGGTAGTAGAATGCGCCAGAACTCTCCGTATTTAGTTGTGTGGTATGTGACCTCACGTCCTTTAACGCGAATGGCGGCACTTTCCACGGGGTTACCGCTATCATCCATTACGAACCCGTGGGCACCGCGGTGAGCCTCCGCCAAGTATTTTATAAGGGACTGTGGATAAATAGTTTAAAAATATAAATTTTGCTCTCTCTTCTAAACTTCTAAAGAGTTTATCCTTTTTTAAAGATTTTTTTCAGAATTGTTTGTTCAATTATTTCTAATGTTACTATAAATAATAATGTTACATGAACTTTGGGCGCGACGATCATAACCGGTTCTGTTATGAAATGTAATTACTAATGAAAATGTTTGTTTACATACCTGTCTATTATCCTGCCAATACTTCGCTAATTCATGTGCAGGTGGATATTTACAACAAGATATCTCCAATGTGATTTCCATGCAGCCGTGCCACAAATAGTTATAATCTTGCATTCCTCCTGCATAATTTTTACAAAAATATAATTTTAATGACTCCACTAACTAGCAGATTATGGTTATAAGTTAGGAGTTTATTAATTATGGTAAAAACTTACCGGTCAGGGGATACCATGCAGCTCCATTAGTGATGCCCTTTTCGAACCTCGGTATCTCGCTCCTGCATGAAACTCCACGTGACATCTTGGCGTGGTTGTTGGAGTAGACGAGCGCCAGATGACGGAATACATCATCGTCGGGAGCGATTGAGGGAGAGTGAGCGTAGCTTTGGAACACTGCGTTTAAGGGATATGTAGGACGAAACACAAGGTTAATCAATTTAACAATGTCTTGATAAAGGAACTTTCATAAATGATTTCCTTACTTATTTTTATACGAGGGTTCTATAGTCAAGATATTTACAACTATTTTAGGCTACTGGGTTTTAAATTATGGAGGGTAATGAAGGATATAGGAAGGTACACCATTAATTTATAAAGTTTAAGTTATACTAATACTACTATCGCTAGGCTTTCTAAACGGGAAGATTCTATAGTTGAGTATTCTATGATACCATGTAGGTTTGTATAAATTCACCTACATCACTCACCATGGGACCAATATATGCCTAAATTTAAGTTATCCTTGGAAAACAACGATGTTTAACGTTTCTTAATACAATTAACACAATCAAAAATTGGAATTCCCCATTTAGCAATACATTACCTGAACACAATACGGAGGACCTGCATATCCCTATGAGGCAGCATGGAAAACAGGAAGCTACAGATCCATAACGATAAAAGTACAAAGTAAAAAGCCTAATATACCTATTTAGGCTTTTATTACATTCTAAAACGCCTTTAAATATATTTAATAACTACCTCTTGCTATAAGTACAATGTACATACTCAAATCATCTTTAAAATCATAATATAATTTCTTTTTAAACTGAACTAATGAACTTTTATGAAATATTAAAAAATCCAAATTGACATTTAGTCTTACAGGCGTAGAACGGACGATAATAATAAGTCCCTTCACGGCACAGGAAGTAACAGGAAAGATTTTGCGTTTTGAGAATGTTTGCGCTTGTTTATTCATTAGGGAAAAACTTGCGCATCTAAGGACTCTTGCCACATTATTTATTGAAAATTACACTAACTTTTCTCGACGATATCTCTAAATAATTTGTAAATGAAACATTAGAAAAAAACTTGATTTTATTTTCGATTTAGCTATGTAATTATTTAACTAATTATTCTATTCAAGAATATAAATTTCGTATTTTCCCAATACTTGAGACTGAAATGTGTTAAGGTATTGCAATATGATCATAAGTGTGATTTCAAGAGACGTGATAAAGTATTCCTTTCGAATTATGTTTACCACGATAAAAAATTGCCACATATATTCTGTCATTATACTTACTAGAGCTGGGCGTGTTATCGAATGGATAGGAGGCAACCAGGGCTCCTCCGTGTAGAGATCCGGAAAGCACAAACTGTATCTTACTAATCCATTCCTTTACTGCTTCAGTTTCAGGCTGGGGTTGCTTAGTATTTGCTTTAAAGAAGTCAGGGAAATTTCTGTTCAAATCATATCGACGAGCGTTGTGCCTGTAATTAAAATGGAGTTAATTAATTTAATAATAAACCTAATTTAAGCATCAATTATTTATTGAAATGTTTTTTAGCACTTTCGTGCCTCTTTGCAAATTCATAAACATACTCGTATATATTCTTCAAATAATACGTATAGCTAAGTAAATCATTCAACAGTGCAAGGACCGGTATAGACCTCTTCGTGTGGCTAAAACTTTAGAAAATCTCTCGTCAATTAAAAAATTCGAGTGATTTCTTATTTGGTGACAAAATTGTCATGGAAAAAATAGCTTAATAGTGTTAAATTATAACGGTTATTTGATTGGTCTCGCTCTGATTCCTCAATAATTTTGTATGATGTCAGGTGTAATTTCATGTGCAACATGTGATTCTTTTACAATTACCATGGAAATGTTTATTCAAACGATTTAAATAACGAGTCAGGGTTGCAATACACAAATATGGCATAGTGCATAAAATATTGATTTTGTGTTTTACATTAAAGTTTCGTGAATCTCTCTGTCACAAATTTCTGCAATTTGCATGATTGGCTTTTTGTACGTATATAATTATCTATTGTTTTTCCATAATTTCAAACTAAACGATCCATAAAAAATATGGTATAAATTTATTCTGTTTATTGAAACTAAAAATAATATTAAATTGATTGATAGTGAAATAAAAATAATAAATTAATGTAATAATATGAATTAATTATTTAGCCTATCTTTTAAATAGCTACACACCAACATAGAACATTTTCCTATGCTACTCCATATAGACTATGGTTTTTAGGCGTTTCCGTGAAAATATTTTTCTCATAAAAATTTACTCAGAGTTCAAGGAAATATCTAATATATAAAATTCTCGTGTCACAGTTTTCGTTGCCATACTCCTCCAAAACGGCTCGACCGATTCTCATGAAATTTTGTGTGCATATTGGGTATGTTTGAGAATCGGACAACATCTATTTTTCATCCCCCTAAATGTTAAGGGTAGTCCACCCCTAAATATATATTTTTTATTTTTACATATTTTTTCTGTTTTTATTTTTTTATGATACAGCATTAAAAATACATACAAACCCCTAACTTTCACCTCTCTACGATCAACCCCTATTTTTTTATTATAAATGATATATATGGCAAAACGACGTTTGCCCGGTCAGATAGTAATTTAAAAAAATCTCGAATTGATCCAGCAGTATCCGAGTTTTATACAGACCCGTTGCCGATAAGGCAATTAGCCTTCCGTCTTTTTTACATTAAAGACACAGCAACTGGTCCTGTGAGTTAAGTTAAGGTCCTTCACCTACCCACCACTAACCCACACACTAGAAATTACCAAATAAAGCCACGAAGTATTTACCTGCCATGAATGGTGTCGCATTGTCCCTCTCGCGAGATTGAGTACCCGTCCGGATTCATTGATGGCATAAGGTGAATACGTGTGTTGTCTAATAACCATTTTATGTATGAATCGCTCTCGTAGGACGTTACTAGGTACTGAAATTTTAGAACAAGAAGTATGTAGGAAGTTATAACATTAAAAATACCTCTTTTTCGTTTAAACACATATATATATATATATATATGTACCATAAACATCTGAGTACGATATGCATAAATAAACTGTTCTATTAGGTTAGCAAATAATACTAAACAAATTTACCTGAATTAAATGCAAAAGTAACTCCCTTCCAACAACTTCGTTTCCGTGTATGTTTGCTACGTACTTGACGTCGGGCTTGCCAATCATGTGCTCATATGGTGAAGCTGATACTACCATCACCCACAGTTCACGTCCTAAAAGTAAGTAAGTATGTAAAATAACTTATTTAAAACGCCTTCTTTTAACTGCGTAACTGATCATACTATTCTCAAAGTATCGCGCACGAACATTCGTAAAGGTAAAGGATGAAAACGTGGGAAATGCATGTCTTAGATCCAATATAGACAAAATGAAAAAAGTCTTAATAGCTTCTTTCTTTTTCGAAGTTTCACGATAGAATTTACTAGCTTTCTGTACCATTAACCTTTAGTTAGTATAATGAGACCAGAAGTAGTTTTATGTGATTAACAACAAATGTTTTTTTTAAATACCTGCTACGAAACAAGGATATTTTCGTCAATTCAAATAAAGAACCAGTTTTATTCGTTTACCTTGCACAGATTTTCCGATAGAGTAGAGCGCTGTAAGAGAAGGATGACGAGTAGATACTGCTCGTAGATATCGTGTCATCTGGTCATGGTCATGGTAGCTGAACTCCAGCTCGGTACCAGCATCACGAGACTCTTGCTCACCTTCATTAGGTTGATCTTGTCCTGCTATTATTATGAGTATATAAATATGTTAATCAAATGAATATGAATTATAATAGGTTGGGGAAAAAGTTGCTTCGCATTTTTTAAGAAAATTGAAAACATTTTTGAAGTTATACTTCTTTAGGCGCGTTATGAAAAATTTATGAGAGTGAAATTTTACGATGCGCGCGCACCTGTGACACAAAATTAGGAGTGTGATTATAGCGTGCGCGAGCGAGATAGGAATAAGACAATCTACAAGTAAAAAGAAATAGAATATGCGTGAAGTTCGTATGCCAAGAATTTTGAATGACCATAATGACATTTGTCATTTACCTTTTAAACAAATAAAGGAGTTTTAATTATTTTTTCAAAGAAATTTAGCAATGCTTTTTGAATTATATATAATCAGAAGTGATTTAAATTGAATATTTAAACCAATACTAATTAATATTTGTGAAAAAACTGTGCTCATCAAGCTTCCTAAGTGCTTCATTACAATTGAGGTTAAGTTTGTATTATTATTATCGAGTAATGTTTTGATTAAAAAAATTACCACATTGTTTAATCAAAACATGTAATTTTTCTCTAGCAAATATAAGGACAAGAGACAAAAAACAATTGATGAATCAGTGTAAGTGCACTAAATTGAATACAAAAAAAGAGTTGTCATCTTATCGCTGTGAAACATCAAAAACTGGAGGTGGAACAAAGCCAAACTATTTTTAATAATGCCAAAGAAGTATAACTTCTTACGCGCGTACATAAGTACACGCACCCTTTTTTTTTAATATAGTTTATTTACATTTAACTAAAGTACGTAGGTACCATTTTGTCCGATAACTTTTTGCCATCATTTAGGTAGGGACATGATCTCATTGCTATAGAAATTTTGGGGCTTCTGATCAAAATACCGCGACAATTGGTTTTGGGAGTCCTCTCGTGATGTTAACCTGACACTGCCTAAAGAATTCTAAAGAGACTGAAAAGGTGGAAATCTGAAGGTCAGGACTATACGTCGGATGCATTATCACCTCCCAGCCAAGCTCTCTTAGTTTTTGCTGAGTGGCTAAAGACGTGTGAGGTCTAGCGTTATCATGATGACAAACCACACCTCTTCTGGTGATTAATTCCGGCCGCTTTCTCTCAAATTCTTGCTTTAATCTCATCAGTTGTTCGCAGTAGAGTTCAAAATCGATGGTCCTGCCTGGTGGTAACAGCTCATAATGAATAATTCCCTTCCAATCCCACCACAGACACAGCATCACCTTGTTGCGAGTTATCCCGGGTTTCGCTACAGTCTGTAAAGCCTGACCGGCCTTTGACCACGACCTATTTCGCACATTCTTGTCGTACGTGATCCACTTTTCATCATCAGTTATTAGCTTCTTCAAAAATGGTTCGGTTCCATTAAGTCGTAATAAAGAATCAAAAATGAATACACGGGTCATTAGGTTTCTAACAGTGAGCCCGTGAGGTACCCAAATATTGAGCTTTTTTGTGTAGGTACCCAGTTTTTTTCAAATGCGCCAAAACTGTTTTGTGGTCAATTCCCCGTTCTTCAGCTACGTCGTAACTACTAATATGCCGATCTTGCTCCACTTTTTCCAAAACCAAATTTGTGCTACTGTCACAGACACTGCGCTAGGGCCATATTAACATCGCAAATTTTTTTTCGCGGCTTGTGTTGCATTTTGACCTTTTTTGTAGTAAAATTTTAAAATGTATCGAATTTCTTCTTTCGATTTACTCATCTTGACGGTACGAAAAATAAATAAAAAACAGACATTATCCTAATTTGATTTTGGAATTATCTTCTTTAAAATCTCAACTTTCCTTGATAATAAAACCAGCCAGATACATATAGTATAGCCAAAGAGATTTTATTACAAGTTTGTACATACTATAATACGAAGACTTTTTCCCCAACCTAATATTTATGAGTAATTGATGTAAATTACGACAATAAATTAATCTTAGAAAGGGTGCGGGTTTCTTATTAAGTGCAAAGGAGGTATTTAAAGACTTAAGTTTGCGTCTGGTAGATAGTACCGGTGACCTCAGTGCTGGTGCATTCCTCGCTCAACAACACAACAACGAGGAAATACCAGCCATAAAAGCTTGCTACACGGACCAAACTTGTTAAATTGTTTTAAGTTTTTTATTTACAATTTTAAATTATTATGTAGATTAAGATTGTCTAATCTTATTCAAGCTATATGTCGTTATTGTTTGTTGTTTTATCCTATATATTGTTTTTTTCGTGACTGATATTAAACAAACTTTGTTAAATACTTAGAGCCACTTAATTGTCGTAGGGATTTGCTGGATCGTATGTTTTTAATGAACCGCGCAACAGTATGCTAGACTTACTCATACTTTGTTTAAATTGAACATTTCTATTTCTAGGGGTTTGAGACGTTGCAAAAGAGCGGATACATTTTTTACCACTAAGCGCTTTAATTTAGGGTTTTACGCTATTCTAAACAAAATGGCTAGAATGTGCAATAAAAAATAATAAAATAAAATAATAGCTAAAGCCTGCAAATACTGGGGTCTAGGCTCCTAATATGATTTTGTCCCATTCGGTGTCGAGACCCTTGGTCTGTGGGGTCCTAGTGCTTTAAGGATTTTTAAGGAAATATAAAAAAGGTTAGTCGATATCACAGGAGACCGAAGAGCTGGCAGCTACTTCGGACAAAGAATTAGTCTAGCGATTCAAAGGGGGAACGCTGCCAGTATCTTCGGAACCTTGCCTAAAGGGACTCCTTTTAATAATATATTTTAGTTATTATATTTTAAGGTTAGTTATTGTTTTTATTATTCATCTTTTTTGGGCATTTGTGTGTTGGAAACAAATGATAAGATATGAGATAGGATTTGATCGCCAATAGGAAGGGCATTCTTTTATCACTCTTTTAGGTTCTTTTGATATTCTTTGTATTATAAGGTCTTTTTTGTAATATTTATCTTAATAAACTTGTTAATTATAAGCCTTATTACATTATAAGTACTATGTTGGTGCACATATATATCGAGACCACACATTGGTTCTAATTTGTATAACTTGTTCCCTTTTTTTTCTTATGTTGATTTGGTGCGGCTATAAATAAATATTTACAAAAATAAAAGGATGCTTCTTTTATTTTATCATCTGTTTGTAAGGTTTAAGCATCAAATCATAACTGCAATAGTTCAAAAAAGACGAAATATAGTTTGACTTAAGTATGACGCGACTATGCGTTGTTGATTCCGTCTTTTAGGTTGTTTATATTTTTAAAAACATTAAGATTAAAGAAGCTCAGTGAAAACATAACCGTTTAATTCTTTATTATAAAATATAAAGCCTCCATATATACTTTATTTCACTCTAGCCCTGATATTATTCAAAAGCGTAGATAAGCTTAAAATATCATGCCTCAAATATCGAATGAATATTTCCTCGTCCTGTTACTTTGAAAGTTATAATCTCAAAAATTCATAATAGAAGACAGTAATTGTTTCTGTTAGAATCTTAAGTATAGGTTCTGGTTGCGTGGCAGAGATCGCTATTGCCCCCCTTATTTTTTTTACTTTTATATTTGTACTGATTGTTGCAACAAGAAGAGAGAGAAGAGAAGAATCAAATAGATATGTACTTACCAGGTAAATTGATATCCGCGTGCTGCGCCCACGTCGTTCCTACTATGCTCAGCAATAAGAGTATTCGACAAATCCCTTTCTTCCAACCCATCTGAAATAATTACTTCTATTATAATGATATTATAAATTATAACATGAATTAATCGTAAACCTCCGTAAGTTTACGTCTTTATTATTAATTATATATATGAAACAGATAACTAAATAAATGTCATATTTTCCGTCTTATTATATTATCTATTCACTCATATTATTATTATTGAGTAATAACTATAGAAATTTAGTCTTTTTCGTCACAATTGCTTGATTACTTGATAGTAATAATCTATGCCCCAAGTTGTATTAATACATAATATTTTTTTTATTTACTATTTTTTAACAATGCACCCATTTAAACCACGTTAACGTCAATAACTTTTTCCGCTTTGTACGAACATTATAATTATTGGTGGTCGCTGGTCCACTAGGCAAGTGGGCAAGGCACTATCACGACCGGTCTATTTGAGGGTCACTGGGTTAGCTGGTATATTAATTATACTGTGTGAACAATTTATAGAGAGTTTATATAAAACCTTATGAAGTACGTACTCATCACTATGTTTTATTCACATTAGGTTCCGTTGTTTATTTATCCTAGCCGGTCGATTAAATTAGACGATGGTGTTAAAACTGGTTATATACTATTTACTTTTAAGTTTTTAAATGTGTAACTTTACATAACGGTAAATTGCTTAAAAAATTCAATTCCTTGTCTTTTATTAGGTCAAATAACTTCCTGCCAGATTCGTGCTGGTTTTCGTATAGAGAAAAGAAAGTAATAGCGGTATCACAAACCATTGCTGAGGATTTATTGAAGTGGCCTAAGATTTAAATGTTCTACTTATTACTTTTTTTTCCCAAGAGCCAACTAAACGTATTATAAATTACACGTTTTCGTAACTATACAAAAAAACCTACACAGGGGAGCGTATATATCTACACTTATAATTAATTAACAATAATTATATAGTTTGCTTATTGTGGTTTGGTGATTTGGTGGTTTGGTGATTACTATATACCTATATAGTAATCACCAGTGTGGGAATCCCATTTTGAAGGTACAATAACAATATTAGATACGGTATTAAATTATATTTTATTAAAACAGTAGCTGTACTAATATTGCTCTAAGAAGAGTAAGTCACACAATACAATGACATTCTAAATCCTTAGCCTAACTTGTTTTTACCTATATTTAGGTTTACACAATGACTTAAATATATACAATTAGTATGAAAAACTAATAAAATACAATTAGTATTCTCTTGATTGAGTATAACTCTTGATTTTCACATCGTGACGATCAACAAACAATGCAACACACTTTTTGCTCAGTGAAAGTTTTAAACAAATGCGATTTGAATTGCTAAGCATGAATTCTGCAAGTAGTACATAACTTCACATACGCCTTACTTAACGAGATTCATTTTGAACACTTGAACTTGAATATTATTTTCGAAATGACACAGTAACTTTACAAACTTTGTGAAGCGACACACAACTTTGTAAAACAGTTGTTTTACTTCTAAAATATGCCTATGCTTCTCACCGAATTGTGACCTATAAAGTGATACATTTTTTAATATATTTTTTAGCCAGTGTTTAACATTAAATGTTTAAAATCAAAGGCGAGAACAGCCTTGAAAACGCGAAAAGAGGTCAATAGCAATTATTAATATTAAATATGTGAACTGGTATATAATCGCTATGCACCAGCGTGACACAAACATCTATATTAAGGTAATTGCACGATATCAAAACTTTGAATGCGGTATTTTGTTAGATTCGTGCTAATCATCAAAATATTAGATTAGTAATAATTTCTTATAAAAATTATAGCTAAACATAAAAATCTGACGCCTTCCGTAACCTGCAATCATAGCATTCTCATCATATCCAAAATACAGTTCAAAGTGAACACTTTTAAAAAAGAAATCTTAAATAAGTAAAGAATCTTTGTAAGCTTAAAAGTTTTAAAACAAAAACAACGTACCTTGTACCGAAATTATTTTCGGTTTTCTAAACACTAAAAGTTTTTTGTTCTCATTTGTTAGTCACGTATTTTATAAATAACTCGCGTTTGGAATGTGGTCGCGTAAGTCAAAACAGGGACAAATCAGTCCTTGTGACCGAACGACTGAAGCTCAACTGGCGACTGAGACCGCTCTGCTAAGTGCTAACCACGGGTACCGCATCATCTGCGTCGACGTACACAGACACATGATCGGAAAGCACTTTCTCTTGAAACAAGCCTCTATAAGCCCCTAACTCAAAGGAATAAGGTTTACTTTATGGTTGTTCTACTTGGTAATTTTCTTCTCTAGTCGCGGCATAGAAGTGACGGTACAAAGTTATTCATAGACTATGGCCGTGACGTTGGAGTCTCAAATGCTTTTCCCGAAGATAAAATTACATTGATGCCTACTTGATATTTTATATTAATAGGTAATTTGAAGCAACTTCCTCGTTTAATCTGTTTACTCCCACGTTACATTTCTGATACCTTCTAAAATAATTATGTTTCTTAAAAAAATACAATGTAAGGTAAGGTTTCTTATATAATAGGAGTATATATCTATCTATTAAAGAAAAGAAAAAGGGCACTTAGCCAATATTCTACAATTTCCTGCATCCGCCTGCCAATACTGTTTCATTCTGATAAAGTTGGATTTTTTATTTATTTAATAAATATATTCAGTATATAAGAAAACTTATTTGCCTACGAGTTAATCCATATTATATGATAATAATAACTAAACACTTTACATCACAATAACACAAAATAAGAAAAAACAGAACACATAGCTTGGGCGTTCTTGGGCCCACATTGTTCCTCATTTACATTAATTATGTGGGATGAACCTAAGAAATGGAAAAATTGTGGCCTTTGCTGATGACGCAGCCTTAGTGTTCCATGGTCAAGATTGGGTTGAGGCCTTTCGACATGCTCAGCGGGGTCTGAATTTGGTATCGGATTGGCTACATCGCAGATGTACATCGCAGAGAAAGATAAGATATTTAACCAATGTAGAAACTGCGCGTTTGGTCTATTTTAGCTACTTTCACAGCATAATGTCTTACGGCATTTTACTGTGGGGTCGGGCTGCTGACATAGAATCCATTTTTATTTTGCAAAAGAGAGCGGTCAGAGCCATTTATAATCTACGTCGCGTCGTTGCGAATCTCTCAGGGAACTATTTAAAAAGATTAATATTATGACAGTACCTTGCCAATTCATTTATGAAAATATTATGTATGTAAGAAAGAATCTACATCTTTTTAGTAAAATAAATGAAAGACATAATTTTAGTATAGAAATAAAGATAAAATAGCTCAACCATCTTTCAGATTAGCCAAAGTTCAAAATTCATTTATGGGGTACTGTGTGAAATGTTACAATAAAATACCTTGTGACATTTTAAAACTAAATGAACGAAAATTTAAATGTTTTATTAAAAGTAATTTGTAAACAAGCATATTACAAATTAGATGATTATATTCAAGATAAGAATGCTTGGAAACATGTGGTCCTGCTCCATAGGACAATCCTATGATTGGCTCTAAGCCTGAAAAATCAAATTGGTTGTGATTTTTGTAAAAAAAATATAATTTTTGTTATTATTATTATTATTATTATTTTTTTAATTTATATAATGCTACAAATGTAATTATTTTTTTGTATCTAACTTTTTGTTGTGTTTTTTAATATTTTTATTACTCTTTAATGTTAATATTCTAAGGTTTGATATTTGTAAATATGTGAGGAACATGTATACTAACTTTTTTAGTATAGTAGTTTATTCTAAGAGTACATTGTCTTCACATATAATTATTTAACAAATGTAACAAAATATTGTAAACCTATTTTAAAAGAGTAGTGTGGAGTTTTTGCCCATTCTTCTAAGAAACTACCTTTTGGAAGGGGCAACTAGAATCATCTTTATATTTTTTTTTTTGACTTAAAATATTTTAATGGTTAATTGAAATATTTGACTTTGACTTTGACTTTGATGTACTGGCCCTTAACACCGAAAAGACCAAATTCATGACCTTCGGAATGTCGAATCGTGACATTCCTTCTGGTCTGGCACTTGTGTCACATGCTGGTTCATGTCTGACCGGGGAGCACTGCGGTTGTCCAAAGCTTAACTCCGCAGGCACAGTGAAGTACTTGGGAGTCATGCTAGATACCTATCTAACTTTCCAAGCTCATATTGACCTACTGGCAGGTAGAATTAGAAAACTGATTTATGTATTCAAAATTTTGAGGCACAATGCTAATAACACAATTATAAAAACTGTCTACCTGTCGCTAGGTCAATCCATTCTGAGCTATTGCATCTCTTCTTGGGGTGGCTCAGCAAAAACCCACCTTCTGAAAATAGGGAGAGCTCAGAGGGCAATACTCAAGGTTAGTGCCTCCCTTCCCTTCATTTGTCCCACCACAACCTCTGTGGAATATATACAGACATTGGAAGGTACTCTCTGTGCGTCAAATGTTCATTCTTGCCACAATTTTACGCAAGCACTCACTTATCAATTATGACCAACACCTTAAAGATAACAAGCGTAGAAAAGGCATAGTGTGCACTACAAAGCCCTTTCGCACAAGTTTTGCCCAGAAATTCTTCTGTTTTTTGGGGGATTACTTGTATAATAAGGTCAACACTTCCGTTTCCACATATCCCCTAACAAAACATAAGTGCAAGAAGACGGTTGCACTGTGGCTACTGGACCTCAACTATGAGGAAACAGAAAAAATGCTGACAATAATTAAATAGTTGAGTTTAAAGTTGATTCTAATCTTTGTTAATAATAGGGAATAAATTTTTAGTATAATAGTTTTAGCTTTATTAGATTAACACTTAAGTAATAAAATATAAAACATACACAGACACACACCCCACACACATACACATAATTTACACATAGACACATACCCCGTGTGGTTTCCTCTATATATTGTAATGTATTGTATTGTATAAGATCTTCTGTCGATCCGAAGTGGTGGAGGCCTGATGACCTGTAACACAGGTACTCTTACCTCTAGCA